TAATACTAACTAACTAACGTAAGTTCTTTTCTTTTTTTTTTTTTCCACTGAATAAATAAGCACCCAAAAGGATTCTAAACTCAGAAAAAAATATTAATATTGTTTTTCCCAAAAGGATTACAAACTCACAAATCCGAATACTCAAATGCTTAGGTCTCATCTTAGTTTCCTCTTTCCATACATTTTATTAATAAAAATATTATTATTGTTTTTGCCGAAACATTGATCAAAATATTCAGGTGACCCTTAATCATTGTTTGCTAATCGGAAGAACCTTTTTAGTAATTACAATCTTCTTTTAGAATGGTGAGAATGTGAGATAGACTAAAGCATCTTGCACTGGGGTCAGTGGCACATGTCTTGGAGTCAACCAATGATGCTTCCATCAACGTTGACTTAGAGTCAACCCTAGCATTTGTCTTGGAGCGAACCCAAGCTTTGTCTTGAAGTCAACACTAGCATTTGTCTGATTCGTTGGTGCACAAACACAGAAAGCTACATAACTATCACTATTGGGTCTCTAAATAAAAGCGAGTTAACGCGTAGTTCAGGTCGGCAACCAAAAGTTTATTTATACGGCAGTTTTTTTTAGCAATGGTTAAATATTATTTCTTGGAGGTAAGTTAAGCGAAAACACAAAGTTTACCAACTTAGCTAGAAGACCAAACTTGAAAATCAAATAAAAGGTAAAAGATCAACTATGAAGCATTACCATTATAGATGCATGTGTTCAGTGTTCATCCTCCAAGACTCCAAACGTTCAACGTTAGTCGCTAATCTCAAAAGAAAATCTCTGAAGTCGACAAGTGAAAAGAACGTTTTAGTTCCCTTGTTACTCTTAAACTAGGATTTTTTTATTTAAAAATTTTAAGCACCAAGTGAAACAAAGGTTTTGGTTTCATATTTTGGCGGGTCGACTCGCTACTCTCTTATGTACTAAATAAATTTATAATTCTTTATCCTTCTTTTAAATAATATGCAAATGGTTGTATGTAGATGAATGATTTGGAAAAATAAGTTGAAAATTTTTTTTGAACATCATTAGACTTATTCCTCTACAAAATAGTAGATGAGATTGAATTGAACAACTTTCTTTTATGTAAGGTAATCATAGCTATAATACCCAATTTTACAAATGATCAGAAATTATTTGGGCCAGCACAAAATCGAAACACAGTTACTATTAGAGTTTTTGGCCCATTAGTCTAAGAGTAATTCTATTATATATGTACAAAGGGGGTAAACAGTATAAAAGAGAAAGTGTTTTACTGCTTATTTTTATTCGGTTCGGAATACCAATCGATGTAGTATATAGTTTCTGGTTAAATTTGGTTTAGATTTGGTTACATATATGTTTATGTTGTTGCAGTTTGATCTAAACCATACATGCGACGAGCATATCTTATCTGTCAAGTGTTACTACGATGAGGGTGAGATACAAGGACTTGTGACAAAAACCAACTTCAGGACTTCTGCATGCATGGGATATAATTAACAATGGTACTACATTGTTATATCATGACTTCACTAACCTGATCATGCCAAGTAATGTTGCTGCTTTGATCATGACTTCACTAGCTTGATAATGTACTTGCTTTAAAAGCGCTTGAATTTGTGCTACTTCACGAACATAACATAGCCTATGTGTCTTTGGGTTGTCATTGAGTTGTTTAAATCCCTTGAAATAAGTTTAAATGTGGGTTTATGCATCTAAATTTTGACCTATTGAAAATTGCTGGGTTGATCTAGCTAGAACTTTCCTCCATAATTTATGTTTCAAAAAATTGAGATAATTATTCTCCATTAAGGTTAAAATCTTTTAAAAAATAGCAAATTGAAGATGGTTACGCGAGGAAGATCATATATATAAAGACATAATTATTATTTATTAAAAAGATAGGGAATAGAGGGCATCATATACAATCTAGGGATTGACATTGACCTTCTACTTACATTACATAAACTTGAAACAACTTAATTATTAAAATTTGAACACAAGATTTCATAACGTTTTTGTCACATACACGACAATTATTGAAAATAGGGAAAAAGCACTATAAAAGATTACCACCCTCTTCAGCCAGATAGCAAGATGTACGTGGTATCTTATAGATATGGTTGTCGATCTAGGCAGTTTCCACTGCATTCATCGAGCCCTTGGAGCAGATTGTAGAACATGCGTTGGCACATTTTTCAACCGTTCCCTTCACGATTTCACTTGCATCTATTTATCGAAACAAAATTTGAACGGATCTTATATATTTACTCACCGATTATTAAAGAAAATATATGAAAATAATGTTACTGGTTTGCTTTACCGGAATTATGGAGAGATGTTAAAGCACCACACACAGAGGATACACACCCAACATTGCAGTATTCAATGGCATGATCATTACCTTGAGACAAATATGCAAAAGACATAGAAGAAAAAGGCTTGAGTTGTCTTGTAACAAATAACGTATATAATGAAAGCACAATATTAATCAATTTACCTGTTTTTTCGATAATGATGTATGGATTGTTGCTAGGACACCGGGAACTAGTAACAGTTATGCAGCCACAAAGGCTTGCACATTCTTCTTTGCCATGAATAGACTCATTACGAACACACTTAGAATAAAAGTTTTGCCTTCCATCTTCCGACTGATATGTTGTTTGATTACAAAAATGTATAGATATGTAGAGAGTTATAAGCTTGTATTGATGAAATGGTGATGAGACAAGGCTCCCTTAAATACTAGTTGGCCTAGAATTTGTAACCACAGACTTGTTTCTATACCCTTATCACATTCTCTATTACTATACACTCTGTACACACTGCGTGGACCGTACCCTACATCAGTGGCTATCTTCACCGCCGGGCAAACTAATTCAGAGACTAAGTCGAGTTTTTATCTTCTTCTTCTTATTTTATCTTATTGGTTAAACAGCAGGAAAAAACATAAGTCTGTCAAATTAATTTTTGCTACTTAGTATTTGAATTAGGAGACTTAATCATCACTATTATTATTCGAGCTAACCATCTATTAATTATATACTGTTTACAAAAATATTTAAATCTGTGTGCTTATATATTTTTTCTGTAAATTCACCAGCTATAAAAACATTTACGGTTTGCTTGATTCAGTGGAAGAATTACGAAGCGTATGTTATGTTATGTTTTGTTTTGTTACACCAACGTAACGTGTTTTTGTGTTTTTTTCTTTTTCTTTCTAACCAACTCTCTTGTGGTTGTAAGAGTTTCTATTTATGTATATAAAAAAACTTATATATACAAAACTCCAAGTGGTTTGTTACGATGATGGCAAAAATTAAATACAAAACTCCAAGGAGTTTGCTACAACGTGCATGTTTTAATTATGTTTCTTCTTTTATTTATTTTTAAACAACTCTCTTGTGGTTGTATGAGTTTCTAATTATAAGTTATAAACTAATCATTTCCTAGTTAATCATTTCGTAGTTACGTATATTTATATATACTAGACGACACTGATGGAAAATTAAAATGAGACAAAAATCTAAATAGTTTGTTATACGGTGTTTTTGAGCTGGATAAAAAAAATCTTGATTAAATCGGTTCGAAAGATAATTAAAGCAAACAAAAGTTTTTGGTGGACATGTTCGAAATATACGAAAGGAGTTCAGTACTGAATATCTTGGGATAAAATGACTTCAACGAAAACGGATGGGCGACTTGATTTTAGAGATCTAAATCAAATCAATATTAGCAAAGCAAGCATGGAGAATTTTGCAGTCCCCAATGGCATAAATATGATGATACATGCATGGTCTTCGATGGTTAAATTGGCAATGGTCCCGAAAAAGCTGACCCAAATCCGAACCCGACATTTCAGATTTGCACTTTTGGGTCCTAAACTCCTAAACCTAAAAATCCAAAACCGAACCCGAGAAAACACATACCTGCGATGAGCATATCTTTATCTGTCAAGTATTACTACGATGAGGGTGAGATACAAGGACTTCACTAGCTTGATAGTGTTGCTGTAATAAGTGCTTGAATTTGTACTACTCTCTTCTATGTGTGTCATTGAGTTGTTTAACTGTACCTAGCACAGTCGACATCATAATCTTCTCTGCTTTATCTACACCTACCTTATGATGTTGGCTCCATGGTTTATCACTTGCTCGATAACATCACTCCATTGAAATAAAATTCAAATTTCAGTGTGAGATACAAGTCTAACCACCAATCTGATGACAAGAGACAATGCAAAAGTATTTCATTTAACTTTAACAAAAAAAAAAAAAAAAGAATACTTTTAATTTAACTTTAACAAAAAAAGTAAATTAAAGAAGAGTATTTAATTTAACAACGTTATCCATAAGATACCGACATCATTTTCAGTGAGTTGGAGTAGGTACACCAACCACAGATATCATTACATATTCACTTTCTAGAATGTATCCTCCTCCATCTATAGTTATGTCTACATGCATCAAACCATATAAATGCAATTGTAACTGTAATAATAACACAAACACACACTCAAGTCTCAAAGCCCATCCTCTCCAGTCTCCTCCACCATGGCTAGCTTCCTCTCCTTCTTTCTCATCTCTTCTCTAACCCTAGCCGCCAACCTAGTTTCCACCACAGGAGAAACCCTCGAATCTGATTTCTTGCATAACAAGAAAGAGAAACTAACTCATTTCAGAGTATACTGGCACGACATCGTAAGCGGCCAAGACCCGACTTCGGTATCAATCATAAACCCTCCCAAGAACTACGTGAATGCAACATTTTTCGGTCTCATGCGAATGATTGATAACCCTTTAACGCTAGCTCCAGGACTAAGCTCCAAAATGGTGGGAAGGGCACAAGGGTTCTACGCAGCAACATCTAAAGAAGAGATAGGTTTGTTGATGGCTATGAATTTCGCGATTTTGGATGGGAAATACAATGGAAGCACGATCACAGTGTTTGGAAGAAACTTGGTGTTGGATAAGGTGAGGGAGATGCCAGTGATTGGAGGAAGTGGACTTTTCAGATTTGCTAGGGGTTATGTTGAAGCAAGAACGCATGAGTTTAATCTCAAGACAGGGAACGCTGTTGTAGAGTATAACTGTTATGTGTTGCATTACTGATTCTTGATTAGTTTTCTATTGTGGTGGTGGTGGTGGTGGTAAGAGATAATGCTTTACACTTTAATAATTTTACTAGTTGAGTGTAAGGTAGTGGCCACTTTAGGACATACGACCTCAGACATGTCATTTATCACAAAACCATATAAGCTCAATCGAAACCAAACATCCCAAAACCACAGAAGCCCCAAATTTAATCTAAATAAAACAATACAATTAAACATAAAAAGTGTAAATATATTTCTTGGGAGATTTTTAAAAATATACCTACAAACTTTTTTTAATAAAATGTTCAAGTAACTTAAGCTAAAATCTTTTTTTTTTAAATGTTCTCAAGTATCTTTTTTAAATAGATAAACTCTTTATTTTTTTTTTGTTAATATTTCGTAAAACTAATTAATTGAAATGTTTTGTTGTTCTTATCTAATTTTTAATTATTATTTTAGGACGAAAAATTTATTTAATTTTTTCAATACATAAGGTATATTTTAAATACTTAAAATATCAAATTTCTTATAAGATTTAAGGTATACAATCAAATCAATATTTTTACTAATGACTAGCTACTACATATATGTATTTGATATTAGTAAGTGAAGACTATATATTATCACTTCTTTGATATTGATGATGACAACTAGTATCACGTTAGGAGTGTGACTCTTATCACAAGCTAAACGCTACGTCTCTTTTTTTTTTTTTTTGTTAAAAGGCTTTCAATTAAAATGCATAAAAGGAAATAGAAGGATATGATGTTGAGATCATATAGTTTTTGAAAAGATAGAACTAGTGAAAAATTAATTCTCTAAGACATTTTCCTATACATTCTCATTTTGCAATGAACCTGAACGAGGGGGAGTAAATGGGACAGTTACCATTGGAGAAGAAGGCAATATTACTTCAGTATTTATGGGCGGATCTAGAAAATTTATTTATTGGAGGCAAAAATATAGTAAAAAAACTATCAAATACTAAATTATAAAAAAACATAAAATTATCATATAAAGACTTTAAAACATCGACGCTCATTTAACAATTGAAACATTTTTATCATATTTTTTATTTGTGACAAATTTAAATAATTAAAAACAAAATAACATGTTATTAATTAAAATTTTTGAATTTATAGACTTATATTTTAAAATTTATGAATTTTATATTTATTCAATTATGTAGCAAAATTCCATAAAAACTTAACCATAGAATTTAAAATATAAACAATTATCACTGTAAAAACTAATATAGTCATATATAACATAAAAAGCTATATAATGTTTTCCGGGAAACATAGTTGTAAGCTTGAACGATTCAATAAAATTAACTGACTAAAAAATAATACTTATATTATAGAAACAATTGTAAAAAAGCTGGAAAATAAACTCACCAATTGATAGTTGTTGATTTGTTGTCACACAAAGAAACCAAATGACTAAAAAATAAGTGAATAACAAAAAATTAGGTCTAAGGTAATATTTAATTTATATATTAATATTTTTTTTGGTACATGGGTTGATATTGGGCTTTCCAAGAAAAAGAAAAAAAAATAGTTTTTTTTATTATTTTGGTGGGGACAGATTTTGTTTTTTAATATTATTTAATAATTTTTTAATGATTTTTTTTTTTTGCTGGTGGCAGTTGCCCCCACCTCCTTGGCTGTGGGTCCGCTCCTGAGTGTGGTTGCATAAGGCAGTTGTGAAGGTAGTCGCTTCAGTTGTAGTAGTAGTATGCCCAGCCACAACGGTTGGTGAGTGTATGTAGGTTGTAGTCTCCACTAGTGCAGCTTCAACTGAGAGAGGAGGAAAGACATAAGTGCAGGCTGAAACAGAACCAGCATCTAGAGATGCACAATCAACAAGAGTTTCTTGTGCAACAGTGGGAGTTGTAGTGAGGTTTTGGCTGCCTCAACACGGGTTGTTTGGGAACTAGTATAACCCTCAAAGTTGGTTGATTCGGATTAAACTTGGAACATACAAGCATCCAAGCGGGTAACACCCAATTTTAATTTCTCCGAGATCCACTTCTCTATAGTAACCATTTTCTCCAGTGATGTAAGCTACATGACGAGTGGGATTATACATATCATTATTTGTATCATAAACTACCACAACTCTATTCGCTTCGTCAATGAGGAAACTTGCACCATTATCAAACAAAAAAACCAGTGCGTGGTTGCATATTAACCTCTAAGAACTTACTCCATGACACCGTGTTAGGCTCAATTTTAGTCGTAATCCAAATATGTGTCGCAAGGTCGCCGTGCCATTCCTGATGTAACACAGCAAGTTGCTCTTCTTTATGAACAGATAGAAATCATTGCAGTTACTTTCAAACGGAAAAGGCAAACGCGGTCCAAATTTCTCCGTTGTAAAATTAAAACCGAGTAAGAAATCGGGGACGTTGTCCGATGAATCTTTATCTGAAGCAAACCAGTAGGTGTTTCCTTTCAATGACACGCCATGGTGATTATACAATATACGCCAGTCTGGAGTGACATCAAGAACCCTCCACAAATTTGTGTTGAATTCATAAATTTCAGGTTCCTCCAAAAGAAAATGAGCAAACCGCAAGATTTTATAGGCACGGGTTGGTTTTCTCTTGTCGTATCCGAGAGCATTTTCATACCATATCTTCTCGTGATCAGCACATCTTGGTTCGACATAAATCCACCGCGTTTGTCCGAAATACGGATTCCAGACAACGAGTTTAGTGTAATCTTTTGTGTTACATAGCAATAAACCCTCGCAGTGAAAAACTCGAAATGTATAACCGACTTCATCTGAACCATAGAGGCTAATAATTTTACCTCTAGGCTTTAATAGTGGATCAGAATTGTTGAGAATTCCATTGAGATTGACGTTTGTTAAATAAACCCTACAGTTTAGTAACATGATCGCCACAAAGTCACTTTCCTTTGTAGTAGCTTGAGCAATGTGCTTCTTGGCAAACCTCCGATCTTTGGATAAATTGTACCACCTTTTACAAGTAGTTCGCATTAACGTGAGGGTTGTCAATGGAAGCCTAGAAAGAATCTCTTCTACCAAGTCTTCTGGAAGATTAGGCATCTTCTTCATTGTTATTCTCAAGAATAAACAAGAAATGATTGATGAAATAGATTTTAGGTATGCAAGAAGATTAGGCACAAATTTTAGATATGCATGTATGCAAGTATGTTTATATACTAGAATCAGACCTTCGCTACCAAAATAGGTACTCTCCTACTTTTTTTTTTTTGGTAAATAAATAGGTACTCTCCTACCAGAATAACACCTCATATTTTTATGTTATAATTATAAGAATTTATAATTATAAATGAAAATTCCTTATTAATATTGATTTTTATGCCAAATATATTAGAGATATAATTATTAATATATTAAGATTCAACTATTATGACTAAAAGTCTAAAACTATTAGTATAATTAACAAATCCTGGTGTTTATCGGAAAAAATTAAACCACATTAACAAATCTAGATTAATATAATTAAGGTGAATAATCTAAAAATGCATGCCATAATGTGTATTATGTAGATTTGTCTTAACCATAGTCCCAACAATATTAACCTTTATTTCAATTGTGTAAATATCATTTCATATGTACAAAGAGCCTACATCTCATGAACAGAACTGAGGATTGTTCTATATATACTCAACTCCATATTTCTCTGTCTGAAATATGGAATCCATTGTTATCCTTGTCTGAACTTAGTCTCCACTTCTCAAGACTACAATCCGACAAATTGTAATAACATCCATGAATCTTGACTTCACCTCTCTTTACTCTATCTCTTATCCATGGGTAAGTTATCAAATTCATTACAGAATCCTTTATAGATTCCTGAAACACAAACACAACATATCAGGTTCAATGTACAAGAGACCTAAAAATAAACGAGAAGATTTATTGAATTTGTTACCTTCTCACAGTTTCTGCATTGTTCATCAAAGCTTAAGTGTGATGAAGCTAATTGTGTTCTTAACTTAGCGGCTTTGCCATTCATAACCCATCTCTCTACCAAACTACATACACAAGAGTAGTTTCAACAATCAAGAACAAATTAAAGAGTTGGTGAATTTGTTTAAAAACCTTGTTAATATGTCTCTCTACCTAGAGTGTTGCTCTTGGTGATTTTGATGACTCATAAGCGCTGCGATTCCTCCACAATTGCTATGACCCATTACAATAATGTTCTCAACCTATATAGAAACAAGAATCAGCTATATATTCTTTTCTTTTGCTGCAATGTTCACTTTTTATAATGTATAAGCTTACCAGAAGAGTAGTAATTGCAAACTCTAGAGCAGAGTTCGTCTCTGTTGGCCCGTTCTATTACAATTAGAGGAAAAAACCAAAAGGGTTGATAAAATCTTTCTTGATAGAAATGATATGAGTACAAAAGGAGTAAGCGCGAAAAAGCACCTCAACCGGGGTAACGAGGTTAGCTACATTTCGTATCGTAAAAGCTTCACCAGGTTGAAATCCTAGTACATAAGATGGACACACCCTTGAATCTGCACAGCCTATCACCATAACCTGTTTCTTTTCCTTGTCAGTTTGGTGTAAATTATGATAATTTCTTTACCAATTAGACACATAAATCGCAACTTTGGAGTCGATTAAAGTTTGAAGAAAGAGTTAGAATAAGTTTGATGATGCTCACCTTTGGTGATTGAGCTATGGCCAAAGCTTGAAACTTCTCTATCTCTGGTCTGATGTTTAGATTTCATCCATCAATTCAAACCGAGTCAGACAAGAAAAACAGAGCAAAAAGCAGAGTATTTTTTTTGGTTAATAAAAAAATAATCAAGAACATGAGTTTCTCGCTTACAGATACTTTTGTCTCTTGAATCTCAGAAACCTCTGTCTCATCTCACCCAAAAAATCATAACTTGTCTCTATTTCTCTGTTTGGTTGCATAAAATCTTCTCTAATTCCCAATTCTTGAACCATGTTAGTCCTCCTACAATACAAAAACAGAGTAATCTCTGTTTTTTTTAATTCTTTGTATTCACATAGTTCGTATTCTAGCTTTAAGATCAAACTTTTATCTTATCACCTGGGTAATAATCTTATTGCTTTTGCTTCACCAAGCTGAAACCGATCCGATCCTGTTTGCTGCAACTAATCATCAAGTAAAATGAAATTGAATAAAAACAAGATTCGAAAAAGTTATGTGATCAAGAAAGTGAAGATCAAGGTGTGTGTCGTGTGACTTTACTTTGTGTAAGCAACCATTTTGATGAACTGATGTTGCAGAGACTAAGCGACGAGCTCTTCCACCTGAAAACAATAAAACCGATATAAAAAAGTTAAGCTGGAACTGTATGATCAGATTTTTGGACCTTAATAAGACTCTTCTCACCTAGTGCTAACGCCATTTTTGTGGAACAGTCTGTTTTCTTGGTCTTTGATCTTTACTATTATAGTATCTTTTAGATTATTTGGTTGTGTAATATTCTATATCAATAGTGGAAAAAAATGATTCCTCTTTTGGATTAGGAATATAACAGTTTGTATATAAATGAAGAGTATGACAAAAATAAATCAATGTTTTTATATAAAATCAAAAGAAGAGAAATGAGGTGGCAAAAGCTTATCCAGAGAAGAAGAAAAGTTACGCAAAGGATACGTCTCATTTGGCTGGTCACAAGTCATATCCACTTGTCAATATAATCCGATTCCAATCACATTTGTTTGAGGAAAAATAATAAAACATTTTATTTTGAGCCCATTAATTCCAGATGGATCATTTAGAAGATGATTTGAAAATCCTTCATAAACATTAATTTAATGTAAAAAAATAAAAACTCAATTTAATTATAGTTAAATCCATCAAAAAATCTCAGATAAAATTTTACATGAATATAACTATAAATGATTGAGTTTGTATTGAATATGGCTCAATAGGTAACGAGTATACTTAAATATGTCAAAGGTTAAAGATTTGATTTTTGGGTTTTATAGTTTTAAAAAAAAAAATTATTAAACTCCAAGCATTGTGGAAGCTCCCTTAGTCTAGTGGTTGACGAAAGGTTGTTTAAATCTTCTACATCAAGAGGTCTGGGGTTCGACGTTCAAGTAATGCGATTTATTTAATTTGCAGATTAAAGAAATAAGTCTACAAGAGATCTATAACATTGCACAATTAGAGCCGTTTGCCGTGATTCTACGCATAGAGAAAGAGATGTCGTCAGGAAATGGTGTAATCTGTGGTGAATCTAAAAGGGTCGGACATAATTGTCGGTAGTAGAATCGTCATTGTAACAATTCTCATAATTTGCAATAAATAATAAATCAAGAGTTAAAAAAAAAAAAAACTCCAGGCACCAAAACAACTAGTTTTACAAAGCAAATTGCCACTTCGTCATGTTGAGTCAGCAGTTGTAATGGTTAACTAACATCTGACAACTCTCAATTATGCACAAAATCGAGAGTTGTGGTATTAAAATTAAATTTTCAAAATATTTAGGTAAAAATTAGCACTAATCATACAACTAGATCCAATTTACCGATTGTTGTGATCGAAAGAAAAAAAAACCCTTTTCCCTACCTTAGCCAAGTTATTTAACTAAAAACCCTAAGACCATTTATTTTTTTAAGTAGTTTCAACATTCTCACTATTGTAGTTTTAATATTCAAGAAATAAGCACCAAGATATCATTAACAATATATACACCATTGACACCATAAAAGATCGTTTAGAACGAAAGATAGAAGCTTTACAACAAGGATTTATCGATCCAAACAACGACACGAAGTGGAATGGTGATATCAAGCTAACTGCCAAGATAATTCTAATAACCACTTTATTATGCTTATGAAGATTGAGAGTTAGGACCAAGTCATCATGACCAAATACGTTTTCAAGCTCCGAAACGGTGACCCTAAATAGGCTGTTGCGGGATGGCTTCTTGGAAGAAACATCTCGAGGCCGAATCTTTGTGTGATCATATGTTAGTATGAGAAATATTTGATAAAGATTTTGGTTTACGTACCGTTATAGAATATTTGATGAGTATATGTTAGTATGAGAAACATGGTTTATATTGTACATTATGATTATATGATATGTTGAGTATTACGTGAAACGGTAATGTGTAATGGAGATGATCAAAAGAAACGAAATAGTGTCGCCATGTTTGCTGCAATATTGTCGCTAGCCAAAACCATAAAGTTTATTGTAACGCCCGTGTCTGGAAATCCGGGTGGTGTCGATCGACACTGTGGTTGGGTGTCGATCGACACTAGTAATTTTGGTTTGACGGTTTAAGTTTTAAATCGTCGGTTCAATTGAGGTTGTGGTTAGGGTTTAACCCTAGGTCACGTTTAAAAGAGTAGAGGTCGTGTTTTGTTGGGAGGTGGCCGCTCTTATTCTTTTAAAAGGTTTCTAAGTTCTTTAGAGAGGTTTTGTGAGGTTTGAGAAGTGTTTTGAGGCTTGTTCTTGGTGTTTCTGTACTTGGGAAGAGAGATCTCGTAGCTGTGGTGTTAGGAGAGTCCTTGGTTGCTGTTGTTGTGATCTGTTCGTTCTTGTTTTCTGTCCTTTGGAAAGGTGAGTGCATGACTAGGCTGATCTAAGCAGTTTTGATACATATTTTGAGTGCTCCTTCTGATTGATCTTTGATTTCTGTGTTTGTATGCTTGTCTATGTGATATGGTGTCTTGGTACGAGTCTGAGAAGGAGATAGATCAGGCCTGGAGTCCTGCAGTTGGTGGATTCGTCGATGAGAAGCGGCTGGAGCGATGTTAGGGTTTCGGTGTCGCTCGACACCAAGGGAGGGTGTCGATCGACACCAACTTTCTTTCTCGCAAGGATGGTCGCGAGTGTCGAGCGACACCAGCGGATGGTGTCGATCGACACTGCTCGTCAGAACGGGTCATGTTGTGTTGTTTTGCGTTGTATTGGTGGTTGTTTGAGTTATACTTGAATGTGTTCATTTCTGCTTGTGTGTATAGCCAGTGGTGGGATGATTGTCTCACTAAGTATTTATGAAATACTTATGCATCTCTTTCTTTGATGCAGGTAAAAGCAAAGTGTGATCCGTGGAATCATGGCAAGGAGAGGAGGATGATCTAGGCACTCATTGGTGTTTTAGGTTATTGTTGGATTTATTAGGGTTTTAGAATGGAATTTAGAAACATGTTAGGATGATCATGTTTTGGAATAATGTTTGGTTGAACTTGTTGGTTTAATGGAATTGTTTTATTGGATTTTTGGTTAAGTTTTCCGCTGGTTACTATTGTTTGGTTTAATTGATTTAAATTATTATGTCGGTTTAGCTGGTTCGAATTAATTGGGTTAGTCCGGTTTGCATGTTTAAAAAAAAAAAATGGGATGGGTTCTTTCATTTATTAATGAATTAATGAATAAAATTATACCAAGATTCTTCTTTAATCATATTTTCAAAAGGTATATTGATATTTAAAGATATATATAGAGAAAGAGTGGTAATATAAAATGAGTTACAACAACAAAGACACGAACAACCTTCCTCTTGGATTAATTATTTAATACAAGTGCATGATTAAAAGAAGAATTGACTCGAAATATAAAATGTAGTGAAAAAAGACAGCAATGCACAACTGTGGCGACATTGTGAACTTGGGTAAACCTGAAAGAAAGTAAAGAGGATGAGACCGTAGATTAAACAACTATGATGAATTTACAAAATTGTGATATGAACAAAGTTACGCGAAATGAAGATGCTCCGAAGATAAAACCCTTCTTGAACGAGGTCGTAATGGTATAGCTAGGATTGCTACAATGCATCAAAGTTACGCGAAATGGACATGGACTTCGGTCATGAGGGGATGTATGGGTTTCGGTCCATAACATCTTTGATTATTAAAAAAAATGGACATGGAATGGAGATAAAAACAAAAAAAAAGAACCAAAATAGTGTCGCCATGCTTGCTGCAATGTCGTTAAAACCCTAAGGGGAATTATTTGCGTTATCGAATAAAAATAAGGTCAATGATTGATTGTTTTAAACAATTTTCAATGTAAGGATGCACAATTGTGGCGACATTATGTACTTGTAAAAACAGGAAAGAAGAGAGGATAGACTAAAACATTCGTAACACAGTTGCAAATCTTTTCTACTATAAATTGATCTTCACACCCATGGACTTGTATCATCACCAAAGCTAAAGTGACTTGAAAAGAGAAAGAGAACAAGTTTTCAGCAAAAGCAAAGATAAAAAGAAAAGAAATGGCAAAGAACCTCATGAACTCTATCAGCTTCAGCGTTCTCTTGCTTATCCTCCTGATGGCTTCAAACGGTAATAATTTAACTAAGTTCTCGATAAAAAATATAATATATCTTGTGCTAATGATCTCGAGGAATGTTTTAACATGTAGGAATCCTAAAGAGCGAGGCTTTTGACTGTCCTGGTGGATGCTCTCTGGGGAGTCAACGTGTGTTTTAGGCGAGTGTGGGCTTGACCCATACACAGGTACAGATGCTGATTGTTGTACGTGTTGCACAGCCAAATACACGGTTTCGCTGTTGGGCGAAAGTTGAGGGAACCATCAAACACTGTCATTGCTACAAAAAGATTTAAAGTTTGAATTTATCCTCATAAAAAAACTCACAAAGTGTAACCTTTGTTTTCTTCATTGCTTGCTTGCTCCTCAAGTGTAACCTCATGTGTGTGTGAACTTTTGTTTCATCCTGAATATATAAAAAATAAACTAGTTTTTTCATGTGTTTTTTCTTTTTTTTTGGGCCAAAAGTCTCCGTTAAAGATCAAGTTTACACAAGAATTTCCTATCAACTATAAACATTACCTTAAGAAAATAGTTGGCACATACGAGAACTCTTTGTGAGTGTTTCATGGACTATTTTAGTTAGTCGAAAAACCGGGGTTTTATTCTGAAAAGGTTGAGAAATTAATAGCTAGTATTCCAGTATATATCCTCAATGAGTTTCTTTTATATATATCTAGATTGGTTTCTTCACCTTGAAGAGCTCCTGCTATAACAACGTCTCAAGCCGTCTCCAATTGTAAACTGATCTGTGAAGAAAATTTCTGAAAATAATGGTTTACTGATGCACAAAAAAAAATTTGACCGGAAGTTAAGACCATCCTCAATGGGGTATCTTACGAGGCTAAGATACCCTCATTTTTTCAAAAAAAATATCTTATATAAGGATTTTCTTTAAAAAAGTGGGTATGTTAACCTCCTAAAATACCCCATTGAGGATGCCCTAAGACCATCCATTGGGATATCTTATGAGGCTAAGATACCCCCATTGAAGATGGTCTTACTAACATTATAGGGGTATTTTAGCTTAAGTATCTCGTTGTTATAGGTTATGGGCCGAGTATATTCATAAATTTACCCAACAAGGAATCCTGTCAAAACGTATTTTATGTATTAGAGCAAAACCAAATCCCTAACTTGTGATAATTAATCACGAACTAATCTCTCTAATTTGCTCGATGGCGTTCGACGAACTAAGAGGTCGGCTAGGCAGGTCATTTGAAAAGATGCGTGAAACAAGTAAGATGGACGAGATGATGCTGAATAGTTTCTTGAAAGAGATCACATGCACTTTGCTTGACGCAGATTTTCCTAAATTGGCCCTGACTGAGATTGAGAGACAAAGCCAGGATATTATAAATCTCCCTGCCTCATCCAACAAGGGCAAACTAATCTACGAGGTGATAATTGATTCTGTGCTCCTCCTTAGGGTTTTTGATTTAAACTTACTCAGAACCATCCGTTTCAGATTATTTTAACTGAGCTAGTTAGTAAGCTTGATCCGGGAAGATCTGCTCTCTTTCTTGTTAAGAGTGAACCTAGCATAGTCATGTTCATCGGCTTACGAGGTGGTTTTGTGTTTTAGTTTTTATTTTTGATGAGTCTTTTGAGTAAATGGTAATGTATTATTATAATATGGTGATTTGATTTTGGATGTAGTGTAGGTGTTGGAACGACCAAAACGTGTGCAAAGTATGCTCGTTACCACCGGAAGAAAGGATTCAGACCAGCTTTAGTGTGTGCTGATACTTTCAACACCAATGCTTTTTTCCGGCTCAAGAAAGTTGCCAAATATGAGGTTCCAGTTTACGGAAGGTACACATAAAGTACAGAGACAATCAAATTCTCTCTTTATCTATTTAAGTCCTGTTCACTATGAAGTGACTCGCTTGCGACCAAGAGACCACAACGTAGCCAAATCACTTTCGTTTGTATTTTTTAGTCGCTGGAGTTTATTGTAGCGGCACCTAAAAGAACACGGCCTTAGTATACAGTTTTCTGATCGAATTCACATATTTTGGTTGGTTGGTTTGTTTCTTTTCAGTTACACGACAGATCCTGCAGAACTTGCCGCTGAAGGAATTGCAAAGTTCAAGAACGAAAAGCGTGACCTAATAATTGTAGACACCAGTGACCGGCATCAACAGTATTCTACATTGTTTGAAGAGATGCGCTTATTATCCGAATCAATGGTCAGTTTTTCTTGTTCTTCTTGCTGTTAATGGTAAGCTAAGTTAACATATGGTTTTCTTGGTCTATACAGAATCCAGATCTTATTGTATATGTCATGGATAGCAGTATTGGTCAAGCTGCATTTGACCAAGCTCAAGCATTCAAGCAAAGTTTCACTCGTGGAGTTGTCATTGTTGCTAATATAAACTGCAACTCTAAATCCTGTGGTGCTATCAGCGCGTAAGCATTATACAAGAGTTTTGGTTCTTTTCATTTTTGTCAAGTACTTCGCGCAAAATGATATATAAATCTGTTTTTTATGTTTTCGAGTGTTGCAGCAGCAAAATGTCCCATGATACTAACTGAAACGGGAGAGAAGAATAGTGAAGAGTTTGAAGCATTTGAAGCTAAACCTTTTGTGAGGCGTCTCTTGGGTAAGCAAACTCCTTTCTTTCTAAGCCTTCTTTGTTTGGTTTATGATTGATTAGTATGGACACTCATGATTGCAGAAAATCCATGGGATAAGCCCCAAGAATATACTTTGAGACAAATGTATAGACATTATAGGAGAGAATTAGGATTGGAGAAAAAGGTAGTTTTCATCTCTCAGCCAACGTTTTTGTTTTGTTGTTATACCGAATACAAGACATTGTAACTTGTTCAAGTTTCTTCCAAATTACTCTGTAGTTGCTTTTCGGGTATGTTCGACCTACCTGTTCGAAGCTAGAACAGGAGAAGATGAGGCGGTACACGACAATAATGGAATCCATGACAGATGAAGGTATTGTTGATGATCAAAACATTTTTTTTTCTTTTTTCAAATTGATTAATATTAGTTATGTTTTTGGTAGAGCTTGATAAACCAAACCTAGTAAAGCAAATGAGCGAGGAACGGATGATGGAGATAGCTGAAGCATCGAAAGTAGATGTGCAAAAAGTTGTGCAAATGATGAAAAAGTACAAGATGAAGGCCAAGAGCTATATGGAGGTTGAGATGAGGATTCGCAATGAATCTGGTAGACGAAGGTACACCGTTCCGACGTCTTAGGTGGTCAGGTCTACAAAGTGAACAAATTATGTATAATGTGCCTTTTGATTATTATTTTTGGATTCTTAAATAAGTATTTGTATCTTTATAGGGTCAAATATTTTTTCAATATTTATGTTAAACTAGTAAAATTCTATTAAGCATGTGTATCGGAATTCTGAGTTGTTAATATTATAGGGTCGAATATTGGATTAAAAAATCGAATTGTTCATTTGGTAATTATACAATTTGAAATTTATCCAAATTTACTTCAAATTGTTCGCAACTATTCTGAATGATCCAAAATGATGTGACTTTTTTTCGATTTCACTGAAATGTTTTTAAACCGCGACGTGTCCAATCTAACCATGCATGACCCGGCTGAAAATCCGGTACGGCTTACCTTAGACCATCTCCAATGAAGAGAATTCATCATGGGTTCTCATCAATTTTTTATTTTAAATTTTGAAAATTTATGTGTTAAAAGCTTTCTTCAATTTATGTCTCTCCAATAATAGAGTTCTCTAGTTGGGGTTCTTAAAAAAAAAAAAAATACTATTTTGAAAATTTTAACAAACTGGTCTAACATAAACTGATTCAATCTCACACATAAACTGTGTAAACAAGTAACTGATTCAAAACATTTATTGATTCAATTATGGAAATAGAAACTGATCCTATTACACAAACATAAATAATTACATAACACAACTGATCTTATTACACAAACATGAAATACCATAAAACAAAAATCTGATTCAAGAATACAAAGACAAACTGATTCAAGAACACAAAGACAAACATGAACTTGATCTGTTGATTTTAGAAAAAAAATTATGTTGTTTTTTAGTAGATTGCAAGAGAGAGATTGAGAGAGAGAGAAGAGTTGTTTGGGCAAACGGAAGAACACAAAACTGAAGCGTTTGTTTTTTTCATTAATTTTTTTATTAACTTTCTTATTCAACCAATGAAAATTAAACACATCATAGTCTTTTTAGAGTTCTTTAAACTCTCATCATAGAAGAGAACCTCCGATGGAGGTGCCCTTAAAGAACCAGAAAAAATCCATTAAAAACTTGTGAACCCGTGGATGAACCGGCAGGTTTGGTTAAATTCAGACACTTTCTAAAGAAGTTCAAACCTCAAATGAAACTGAAGACAATTTTTTTTTAGAGAAGGAATCACTGAATTGATTAAGTTCTATCTTCTAGCTCGACTAGGTTTCCGGATTAGTTTGTACACTGCCGAACTTTGGTTGATTCAATAAGAAGTTCCTTGTTTCATCTATTTATATTTGTTTACTTGTCTGTACAATCTTAGTTATCAACAATACATAAAACCTTTTAAAAAAAAATTAAACGTGTTAAGAAAGAGATTGAAAGGGTAAAATTTATGTTCATTTTATTGATAACCAGAGGGTATATATAGGGATACAAATATGGTGAATAGACTAATGAGCCTATAATGGGCATCCACTAAATCATTCATAACACTCCCCCTTGGATGTCCATTAGAATCGAATAGTTGTAAATGCGCAAAACATGCTGCCTCATTAAAAACCTTACCAGGAAAACCCAGTGGGAAAAACCATGGTTAAGGGAAAAAGAGTGCAGCGCGCATTTACTCCCCCTGATGAGTGCATCCGTCAAGATCCTTGAGACGACGTAATCCAAGAAGACGAACTAATTTCTTGAAAGTTGCAGTTGGAAGAGCCTTGGTGAATAAATCAGCCAGATTATCGCTTGAACGAATCTTTAGAACATTAACATCCCCATTCTTCTGAAGCTCATGTGTGAAGAAGAACTTTGGGAGGATATGCTTTGTTCTATCACCTTTAATGTATCCTTCTTTTAGTTGTGCGATGCATGCAACATTGTCTTCATACATAATTGTTGGAGTTTCTTTTCCCTCAGATATACCACAATCTTTCTTTATATGCTGAACGACGGACCGCAACCATACACATTCGCGACTGGCTTCATGGATAGCTAGAATCTCTGCATGGTTAGAAGAAGTGGCTGCAATGGTTTGCTTCATAGATCGCCAAGCGATGGCAGTACCACCACATGAGAATATATATCCTGTTTGTGATCGATCATTATGAGGATCAGATAAGTATCCTGCATCTGCAAAACCAATCAAATCTCCTTTAGCTTGGTTAGAAAAGAATAAACCCATGTCTTTCGTTCCATTGAGGTAACGAAGTATATGTTTAATCCCATTCCAGTGCCTTCGAGTTGGGCATGAGCTAAACCTTGCCAGTAAATTTACTGCAAAAGATATATCAGGTCTTGTATGACAAGCAAGATACATCAATGCTCCAATAGCACTTAAGTATGGTACCTCTGGACCAAGGATTTTCTCATTCTCTTTCTTAGGGGCGAATGGGTCTTTATCCACATCAACTGGCCTTACAACCATTGGGCTGCTCAACGGATGTGCTTGATCCATATAAAATCTTTTAAGCACCTTTTCTGTATAAGTTGCTTGATGCACAAGGATTCCTTGCTCTAGGTGCTCTATCTGTAATCCTAGACAGAATCTCGTCTTTCCAAGATCTTTCATCTCAAATTCTTTCTTCAAGTACTCCACTGTATGAGAAATTTCTCCCGAAGTTCCAATGATATTCAAATCATCTACATATACTGCGATTATAACAAATCCTTTCTCAAATCTCTTTATAAATATGCATGGACTGATAGGGTTATTCTTATAACCTTCTCTTATTAAATATTCACTCAGGCGATTATACCACATACGCCCTGATTGTTTCAGCCCATAAAGAGATTTGTTCAACTTTATACAGTAATGTTCTCGAGAACTAGATTTTGCTGCCGGTGGCAGTTTGAATCCTTCTGGGACTTTCATATAAGTTTCATTATCCAGGGGACCATACAGGTACGCTGTGACTACGTCCATCAGGCGTAAATCAAGTCCTTCCTTAATTGCCAGACTAATCAAGAATTGGAAAGTAGTTGCATCCACCACAGGGGAGTATGTCTCCTCATAATCAATTCCAGGTCTTTGTGAGAATCCTTGTGCAACTAATCGTGCTTTGTATCGCACAACTTCACAATTTTCATTCCTTTTCCGCACAAAGACCCATTTATGTCCAACTGGGTTAACACCATTAGGAGTACGGACTACCGGTCCAAACACTTCTCGTTTTGAGAGTGATTTTAATTCAGCGTCTATTGCCTCTTTCCATTTTGGCCAATCACTTCGTAGTGTACACTCTACGATAGACTTTGGTTCATGATCCTCATTTTCATCCATAACCTCAAGTGCTACATTGCATGCAAAATTATCATCGACGTCGATTTGCTTACGGTTCCATTTTATCCCAGACATGACATGATTAATTGAGATCTCTTCATTATCAGGTACCTGAATTTCTTTCTTTGTCATGTCTACGGTCTCTTCTAGAGAACCTTCAGGATTCTTTACATCCTCGGTTTCACTATTGCCAATTTCTGCTCCTTTTCTTTTCCGAGGATTCTTATCTTTGGAACCAATTGGTCTACCACGTTTTAAACGTGCCTTAGATTCAGTAGCAGCTTGATTTAGTCCTCCTTGGACATCAATTCTAACTGGAGCATTAACCGCTGGGATATGAGACTTAGTTACTCTATTTGGGTCAGCAAATGAGTCTGGCAACTGATTTGCTAAGCTCTGTAAATGAATTATCTTTTGGACTTCTGATTCACATTCTCTAGTCCGAGGATCATGAAAAGATAATGATAATTCATTCCAACGGATTTCATTTCCCAGCTTATTATTTTCTCCCCCCAATGTTGGATATACAGACTCATTGAAATGACAATCTGCAAAACGAGCCTTAAACAAATCCCCTGTAGATGGCTCTAGATATTTAATTATCGATGGGGAGTCATATCCAACATATATCCCCAACCTCCTCTGAGGCCCCATCTTAGATCGCTGTGGTGGAGCAATTGGAACATATACAGCACATCCAAAAACTTTTAGATAGGAAATATTCGGTTCACGACCCAAAATTAATTGTGAGGGGGAATACTTATGATTACTCGTTGGCCTGATGCGAATTAACTCTGCCGCATGTAAAATAGCATGTCCCCAAGCAGAAATTGGGAGTTTTGATTTCATAAGTAATGGTCTAGCAATCAGTTGGAGGCGTTTAATCAATGATTCAGCTAAACCATTTTGTGTATGAACATGTGCTACAGGATGTTCAACACTTATCCCAATGGACATACAATAATCATTAAAAGCTTGGGACGTAAATTCACCAGCATTATCAAGACGAATAGTCTTTAAAGGAAAATCTGGAAAATGTGCTCGTAATCGAATCAACTGAGCAAGTAACCTCGCAAACGCCAAATTACGGGTTGATAACAAAGATACATGTGACCATCTAGTCGATGCGTCAATTAGAACCATAAAATATCTAAAGGTTCCACACGGTGGGTGAATCGGCCCACAAATATCCCCATGTATCCGTTCCAGAAAATTTATCGATTCAGAATTTATCTTAGCAGGTGAAGGCCTTATGATTAGCTTGCCTTGTGAACATGCAGCGCATGAAAAATCATTAGGAAGAACCCTCTGGTTCTCCAATGAATGTCCACAAGAATTCATTATTATCTTTCGCATCATTATCGAACCGGGATGGCCTAACCGGTCGTGCCAAACATTGAGATTTTCAGTAAACTTCTGGTTTACTACAACATTTGCCTCAATCGTACTAATCTTAGTACAATATAAACCAGTAGAGAAGGTGGGTAGTCTTTCAATAATTTTCTTTGAGCCTTGGGTAATCCTTATGATCTGAAGGTACTCATCGTTTCCTTCATTCATAGTCTCAATATGATACCCATTTCTACGGATATCTTTAAAGCTCAATAGATTTCTATTTTACTTATTCTATTTAAGAAACAATACCAAAAACGTTTTAATAATTTAGTCTTACAATAATTGAATTAAATAGTGCGAGGCTTCAAAGACAAAATAATATAAACCCAAGCATATCATGATAAAATTATATTCAACGTATTAGACAACACCAACTTATAGATCTATTAAAAGTAATATTATAACAAAACATAGACTTATAGATCTATTAGAATACTAAACGTTTTAGACAACACCAACTTATATATCTATTAAAATATTAAACGTTTTATTATAACAAAGCATCAATGACTTATTATGAACAATATTATAACAAAGCACTGATTATTACTACTTATAACCGAGCAAATACCATAATCGAGCAGTGATAGTTGACCAAAAACCATAAACGAGCAAATACCAACATAACTATTTATAATTATAATAGATCACACAAACGATGATATGAGATGAACCTATGATTTAAATAAACATTAAATAGATTTTGTTGTGTTTACCGATGGAGGAAATTGAAAAGTAGAAGTTGGTGATGTTGGTGATGAAGAACGTCGGAAACGGCGCAACCAAACGGAGGCTAGGGTTTTTTTTTTTTTTTTTTTGTTTTTTTTTTTGTTTTTTTTTTAGACGGATAGGGTTAGAGCGTGCTGATAACGTGTTAAGAAAGAGATTGAAAGGGTAAAATCTATGTTCATTATATTGATAACCAGAGGGTATATATAAGAATACAAATATGGTGAATAGACTAATGGGCCTATAATGGGCATCCACTAAATCATTCATAACAAAACGCCTAAAACAGTTTAACATATGACAGTGAAAAAAAGATTCCAACAAAGGAACTGGTCCATCAGAGTATGAGTATAGAGTTGACATTTTTTCTATTTAAAATAGGGTCGTCGAGCCCAAAAAATAAGTCCAACTTTTCAGCCAGTATTAAAGTCAAAGTCTTCGGGCAAAGTCTCCCCAAATAATGCCATTAAATAAAAATATCAGTAATATTCTTAGCCAACTTGAAATTATAATTTAAAAGTTTTGAAGATTTTTTCTGTTTAAAGAACTTGTGAAAAGTTAAGTGTTATGTCAAATAAGAGATTCTCAATGTTGATGTTCTCCAGAGCATGTCTCATGATGGTGGTGGTGACGATTTTGGTATCTCTGCATGTACATGGTGGGTATAGAGGTTGCATCGAAAGCGAAAGGAAAGGATTGATGGAGATCAAGGCTTACCTCAACACATCCGAGTACCCCTATTATTGGCCTAACAACACAAATAGCGATTGTTGCAGATGGGAAGGAGTCAAGTGTGATCTTAACAGCGGGCGTGTGATCAGCCTGTTTTTGACTGAAACAATTCATAACCTTCCCCTACTAAATCTTTCCTTGTTTCATCCCTTTGAAGAATTACAAACTCTAAATTTAAGTAATTCATGGTATCATGGCTTGTTCCACGACGATATAAATGGTATTGTGTCACTTCCGTTTCTTAATTATCATCTTTGCCTGTATATTTACATGTATATAAGAAGCCATATATACTTTCATTCTCATCAAGCTATAACATTATTGGTTTTTGATTTGCAGGTTATAAAAGCCTAGGGAGATTAAAAAGTCTTGAGATACTCGATTTACGTAACAACGGGGTTAATAATAGTGTCTTGCCCTTTCTAAGTGCCGCTTCTTCGCTTAAAACTTTAATTCTTCGTGGTAATCTTGTGGAAGGTACTTTTCCAATGAAAGGTATGAGTTAAAAAATATCTTGGGTCTATTCGAGTACTTGTTACAGACTGATATCATAAGTTTGCAACATTTTTTTCAAGTTTTTTTTTGTTTTGAACTTGAGATAACTGATTGTGCAGAACTAAAAGAAATGAGAAATCTAGAACTGCTGGATCTAAGTGGGAACAAGTTCATTGGCCCAATACCAGGTAATCTACTTACCTCTCATTATCTCCATAGATCGAAAACTATAGACCTAGGACCTTAATTAACATGGACACTTGTTAAAATCTCTTTTCATCCTACAAAAAGACTTGGCGAATTTTCACAACCTTCAAGGCTTGGATTTGAGCGATAACGACTTTTCTGGATCACTGGAAAAGACAGGTATGTTAGTATAAATAAAATGATTGTTTTCCACGTTAGTCCTTTTTTATTCTATGACGAGTTGTGCATTAAAATATCTGGATCTAGATTTGTAGAACCTAAAAAAAATAAAGAATTTTTGAGAAATACTCTTTTGGTGTACCATTTTTAAAAATACCATTTTTTTCTATCCATTTTCGAAAATACATCAAAATCATCTTTACTACTGCGTGACTAAATCCAAATATTTATAAGGTTTTAAAGGTTCTAAACGGCATTTATAAGGTTTTAAAAGGTTTTGATAAAGTTTTTATAAGGTTTACAAAGTTTTTATAAGGTTTTTAAATGATTTTTAAAAAGTTTTAAAATGTATTTATGAAATATATATTTATAAATTTACACATATATAAAGATAATTTGTGTCTATAAATATAAGCTTACACATATTTTTTTGATAAATTTCAAAATTTATAGTGACTTTTTGATAAAATTAGAAATAGCGGTATTTTTAAAAAGTGTTATTGGAAAATGCGTATTTTTGAAATTCCCCCAAAAAAATACTCCTTCCGTCTATTTTTATTTGATGTTTAAGGTTTTTACACACAAATTAATAAAACATATAATTTTCCTAATTCCCATAAAACATCATTAATTATAATTAATCAACAAATAAAAAAATATGATGTAATATATGATTGGTCAAAAATTATTAAAAAAAATTATTTTTTCATAGAAAATTGAAAACATTTTAAGATTACTTAAAATGAAACAATTGTTTTTGGCCAAAAATAACAAATAAAAAAATGGAGGGAGTAACATATTAAGGAAAAACACATAAATTATACTTGAATTTTTTTTGGTTTAAAACAAATAATTTATTTAAATATATTTAGTAACTGTTGATGGATTCGAACCCACGATATAACAGCCGTTAACGGGTGTTTTATAGACTCCATCAACAATGTTAAAGTTTATGGAAAAAACTAGTAAAACACCTCATCTAAAATTTACTAGGGACATTTTTTTTTTTTACACAAACTTGGGACATTTAATATCCAATTTTTTTGGTTGGAAGAAAAATACCTCATTTGCATATATTTGTCCCCAAAAAAATCTCATATTTATATTGTGGTGGATTTGAAAATACTACTTAATAGTTGTTAACGAACATTACAGAATCATCAAACCATGTTAAATGTTTAGCTCATGTTTTTAGATATATACGATCCTTATACAAATATATTAGACTAGCATCAACAATGAACTTCTTCTTAAAACATAAAAAATTAACTTTTTAATACTAAAATAAAGTTGACCACTAAAAATTAAATACATGACAGAAAAGATTCTTAAAACAGAAGAGGTTCCAAAGTACATTATTTAAGATAGGCTTTGTAGTCGCTTTTATAATTTATTATTATTTTTAACATTAATCTTTCTCTAACAAGCTCCCTTGGAAGTGCCCTTAGACCATCTTTTAAAGAGAGTGTCTTAATATAAAACTATAAAAATACTAATATTATAGTATACATTTTTTGGGTAATATGAGATTACTATCTCTAGAATGTCTTAGTGAAGACATTTTTATTAAGTTTTTTTTTTCTGTTGTAAGACACTCATAAGTCATAATATAATATTAATATTTTATAATTATATATTGGGTGATGTAAAAGTATATACCTAGAAGAAGTAAACACAAAAAGTTTGGTCTCCATAACTTGATAATTAGTTCTCTCATCTATGTAGTTGGAAAATGACGAAACTAACCCTGTGACAATTAATTACACTATTCATATAAAATCGATAAACATTGTTCAATTTACAAAAAAGTAAAATATTTTACAATTTTATTGTATAATTATTCGTTTATCGTACTAAATAATATGATATCGCGATAAGATAACATATTGGAATTAATATAAAATAGAAGTTGTTAAACCATATTTAACGATATTGTTGGAGTAAGAATATTTATGAGTTAGATGATTATTTATTGGATTAACACGATAGCAAAATATATGTATCAATAACTTTATGGATATATCGTGTTAAACCATATTGCATCGCGATAAATTCATGATTTAGATGATAAATTCCTATTAATAATACTGTTATAAATTCTAATATTGTGATAATTTTTATCTTATGTGCTATGCTATTTAAATATCTGAATAATATTTGTTAGCACATGGTAAGATAGTTATTATACAAATAATATTTATATTAACATGTTATGTTAGTATGCTAAGTTATTCAACTAGGATTTATCCCGTGGTGCACCACGAGTCATTTTTTATTTTTATTTTCATTAAATTTTAAATTTTCTTAGTATAGTTTGTATTTGATTTACTGTTTTTGCATGTTTATGAATGTTTAGAAGTGTTTGTTTTTGGCTTTAATAGTTTTGTATTATTGGAAAGTGTATATTGTTAAGAATGCGAAGTTTATGTCAATAAAAATTTCGAAATAGACTAATTAGAAATAACTGCCGAGATTTATGGCAAGTATAAGCGATTACGATATCTTTTGGCAATAATAAGATAATAAATAATTAGATTAATAGATTATGGAAATTAAATTTAAACACATTTATGTTTTCTAGTTGTAGGATCCGATTACTTAATTCCGGGTTATATAAACTAATTTTGACCCGATCCAAATTTTCCTTAAAATGATTTTTTACCTTATTTTTTTATTTACATAATATAGTAAGTTAACACGATAAATATAAATTTATCACATAATTAATAAATCATAAATTATAAAATCTATTACGATACGATATATTTATAAACTATATATTTTATTATATTGTTAAAGAAAATCTTATAATGCGGGAAGGCCATTTTCTAACTTATGCTGATGAGAAATAATTAATTATACAATAATCATAGCCATAGGTATGTTTTTAATTTTTAAGTTTTCTAGATATATAGATAAATATAGCCCGCGAGTTTAAGGTTAATTTTGGTAGATAAATCAAATTATTAAGTTAGATTGTTTTCTCTGATGAGATGTGTATTATTTATGGACATAGCTCTGAAGAACGTTCATGTTCTCATCTTCTTATGCATTTGCATTTGATTGTTACAGGACTTTGTCAATTGAAAAATTTACTGGAGCTTGATATAAGTCAAAACAAATTTACAGGCCCATTTCCTAAGTGTTTTGGGAGCTTGACCAAGCTCCAAGTTCTTGATATCTCTTCAAACAAATTGTATGGGACGGTTCCGTCTCATATAAGAAATCTTGAGTCTATTGAGTACTTATCTCTCTCAGATAATGACTTTGAGGGTTTCTTCTCTTTCGAGTTAGTAGCCAATTTCTCGAAGCTCAAGGTGCTCAAAGTTTCATCAAGGTCTAGTTTGCTGCAGGTACAAACAGAAATCTCGTGGCAGCCGAGGTTTCAGTTAAGTGTCATACAATTACAGAACTGTAACTTGGAGATAGTTCCAAGCTTTCTTCGACACCAAAATGATTTGCGCGTAATTAATCTCTCCAACAACAAGTTGACTGGACCATTTCCCTCTTGGTTTTTGGAGCAATATCCAAAGCTTCGGGTTTTGCTTTTGCAGGACAACTCTTTCGCCATGTTTCAGTTGCCAAGACTACTTAATCAGAGTCTACAGATTTTGGATGTATCAAATAATAATTTTGATCAAAAGCTCCCTGAGAGTATTGCAAAGGTGCTTCCAAATTTGATACACTTGAATCTCTCAAGTAACGGGTTTCAAGGGTATTTGCCACCTTCCTTTGGTGAGATGAAAATGCTCCAGTTCTTGGACTTATCGCGTAATGACTTATATGGCAGTCTACCAAGGGAGTTTCTTATGGGTTGTGATTCACTAAATACGTTGAAGCTTTCATACAACAGATTCCATGGACAACTTTTTCCAATACCAACAAATTTCGGGAACTTGATCTTGTTGATTGCAAATAACAATCTATTTACTGGGATCACAGGTGGATTTGTGAATCTAACTACTTTATCCGTGCTTGACTTGTCGAATAATAATCTACAAGGTGTGCTTCCAAGTTGGTTCGGCCACTTTCCTATGGTGTATGTTTCTCTTTCGAATAATCTTTTGGAAGGTACAGTACCAAGTAGCCTTTTTAACGTAGAAACCATGAAGATTTTGGACCTCTCTGGAAATAAGTTTTCAGGGAACTTACCTGTGCACTTCGGAGGTCAGTATATGAGTCTGTTGTACCTCCACGACAATGAGTTCACAGGGAACATTCCAAGTACATTGATAAAAGATGTCTTGGTACTCGATCTGCGAAATAACAAATTATCTGGGACTATCCCACGCTTTTTCAACAACCCGGATGTCATCTCTCTTTTGTTGAGGGGTAACAGGTTAACTGGTCATATTCCTAAGGATCTATGTACTTTAAGGCGCCTTAGACCATGATTAACGGTAGGTTCTTAGTGGTTTTTTAAGTAGTTTTGTGATTAAAATTAAATGGTTAATAATGATAATAGGTAAGAAACGTCTTTTAACTAAGAGAAAAATCATGGGTTAAGAGACAGTGACTTGTCATTTACTGATTGTTGGAAGAAGGAAAAACAAAACAGTGCTCTCTCTCTTTTGGCTGTGACGTGCTTTTAACTGTGTTCAATAAATATTTTTTTTTTTACCTTGGTTTATATTAAATAGAGAGGAGGAGAACATGAAGAAGAAAAAGGTTTAATTGGCTAATAATACACAGAAATTAAATTAAAAACTCAACAGAAGAACTCATTATTTTATTTTTATTTTTTTATGTGAGTTAATATTCGTAACCAAAGAAATTAAATGGCAACCAACTTGAATTAAATGTTTTATAGTAATAAAATTTTAAAATTGAAAATAAGAAAAAATCATAATTTCAATGTAAAAAAGAAAAATGTATAGTCAAAGAGTAATTTGCAGTAATTATTAAGTTATTTATGCTATAATTATGTCTCATGTATGTTTTTTTTTTAATTTTCAATAATCATGAAGTTTTCTAAATTTACAAATTTTAATTTAATTTTCTTTTTAAATAAAATATTTATTTCCTAAGAACCACAAGTTAAGAGCCTACCATTAAAAATACATACAAACTAAAAACAAAAATACAATTCTTAACTCTAAATTTTTTAATTTTATTTCTAAAAAATACTTAAGAGACAAGTTTAAGAGCTTCCTATTAATCATGCTCTTAGGATCTTGGATCTTGCCAACAACATATTGGATGGGTCTATACCTTCATGTCTAAACAATGTATCATTTGGAAGGGGCTTTGATTATGCGACTGATGGTAATACATATTCAATTGGATTTGATGATGAAGAGTTGGAGGTTTATTCTAGGTTGTTGGTTTTACCACGTGAGTTTTCTCGACGTTACACCGACTATTTGACGTTCATAGTTGATTTTGCATCGAAGAGCAGGTATGATTCCTACACCGGAGGAAGTTTTGATTTCATGTTTGGATTGGATTTGTCAAATAATGAACTCAGTGGTGGAATCCCGAAAGAGCTAGGGGATCTTCGGAGAATACGTGCTTTGAATCTGTCCCACAATTCCTTTTCAGGTTCAATACCTGAAAGCTTCTCAAATCTAACAGATATAGAGAGCATTGATCTTTCATTTAACAGGTTGCGTGGGACAATACCTCAAGATATATCCAAGTTAGACTATATGGTTGTGTTCAATGTATCATACAACAACTTGTCAGGCTCCATTCCAACTCAAGGCAAATTCCCTACTTTAGATGAAACTAACTACATTGGTAATCCTCTTCTCTGTGGATCATCCATAAATAGAAGTTGTGAGGATAACAACAAAACTACCGGGTTCCTTGAACCTGATTCTCTAAACGAGGACGAAGAAACAACAATCGATATGGAAACTTTCTTTTGGAGCCTTGCCGCCACCTTGGGTGTAACATGGATCACATTTCTTGTGTTTCTTTGCTTTGATTCACCTTGGCGCCAAGCATGGTTTGACCTTGTTGATGCTTTTATCAAAATGTTCCAATGCGCTTGATTTTGTGTATTTTCATCGGTACTCAAACTATATATATGTCAAATTGCTTCAGTTCCTAAGATTGTGGAAAGTTCAACAGTTCATTTGGTTTTATCATTTTGGAAGTGTTTCCGTCGGATTTTTAAACAGTCAAAATTTTCTAAAACAGCTCAAACCTTTCAAACTAAGAAGTCACTTGAGAAAGAAACTACTTTTGAGTTTATGAATCGCAAAAACTAATTATTTACAGAGATGAAATGGCGCAAACCCCTAAGCTTAAAAAAAATTAACAGAGTCTGCGCTCATTTCTCCACTTTCTGTTTGTTACTTTCTACAGATGCATCCAAATTGCTTGGAACACAAATTTACTTTCTCCTTTCGGTCATTCCGATCCAATACCAAGCTCTTCAGAGTCCATTAATGCACCAGATGCATTAAGGTCTTCATCAATGGGGAGTGTACGTTTTGAGCCATCCAGCGCAACACCAAGAACAATGTTCTCCTCTAGCGAAGAACTGGTACCTGATCCACCACCATCTCGAGCTTTCGAATCTCCGCTGCTCTTTTCTGTCCCTTGTTTAGCTTTAGATTTCAATGTCTGCTCTGTTGCACCTTCGTCATCAGAAACTTCATCCTTCTCTGCTATTTTTGAATCTCCCGCACTCTCTTTCTTCTTTTCTTCTGACTTTTGTGCTACTGGCTGGTCGGATGTTGAGGTTGGTGAACCCTTAGTGCCTGTACTGGAGTTGAAACCAAGAGCCGCTTTCTGTTTATCTTTTTTGGCATTTGAAACCGGCACTGATCCGTTGTTTTCTGTTTCATCCTTGGTTTCTAATAGTTCTTCTTGAAGGTCCTTATCTTCACTCTTTTGCACTGAGCTAGGTGTGGAAGACTTTGTGGTGTCATCACCGTTGATTTTATACGATGGCTCAATCAGCATGTATCGGCGGTTCATCGCTGCTTGATTAAAAACGATGTCTGAAAATCCTGCACTGTCCACCTCAGCCTCATTACGCATCCTCTGTACTGTTCGAATGGGAGTTGCTAGACGTGCTCCGTGATGCCTAATAACTCTAAGAAGATCCAACAGTACTGCTTCCTGTTGACAAATACAAATGTCTATGACATAAGCTCATGACATATTATAAAGTTTATCGTAAGCTTCCATTATCAAACATATCCATATGATTTACGGACATACACTCACAGACAACATAAACACATGTCACAAGGCACAGATGCTCGGAGATGCACACAGTACATATCCATTAGTATACAAAAGACTGTCTTAGGAAAGTGATGAAAACATAAACATATCTAAAGAGTTGATCATACTAATCTACTGTTGCATGCATGTGAGGTATACACACAATTTGAATTATATAAATTAGCAGCCAGAGAGACACATTCCAGGATTAAAAATGCGTATTCAGTTAACTTCAACATACCTTAACACAGAGGTATTCTTCAAAACGTGAAGTCTTTACAAAACAAGATATTAGGATCTGCAAAAATATCAGATACAGATATTAAATATAGATATTAAATCTGAGTTAATGTGAATCAGACATATTAGATGTTGATGGAAGGCATCTTCTTACCCTCAGGGCTTGGTTCTCTGGATCTATATCCTCCAAAAAGACTCTTCTGTGTATCTTTTGTTGCTCGATTTGAGGATTTTTAGACAACACCTTGCGCATATCGGCCACAATATTCTGTAAAGTCGAAAAAAATACATTAACTTGTCACATCTAACAAGCTATCAGACTTTAAAAGTGCTGGGATGAAAGCTTGTGTAAAACTCACGTTAATTTTGCTGACATCAAGATGACTGATGGCTAGATGTGTTTTGATGCGCCAATGCGTCTTTTGAGTAAGATTTCTCACAATATTTACACTGAACTGGTGGTTTGGAATATGAACTGCTTCACGGTCATCACCTCTGATAACTGTAGGTGACCACCAACCGACATGCTGCAGAAGAAGCGAAGTCAAACTTTATGGAAAAAAGGACCTACTATTTACTGCAGCCAGTGGTAACAAACGTAACGGACAAGTTAACACACCTCCACTGTGCCAGAAACATCATAGCCTCCTATCTTGGTCTGGATCCACTCATTCAGAACAAAGGGTCGTGTCGCATGGATCATAATGCTTGATAGAAAGTTTGTAAGTATCTGCATCATCCACAAAATGTATTGTTGTCGCAATGTAAAAAAATATTTAGTATGCCAAATTTGTTCCACAAAGAGCGGACCGTACCTCACGACCAGCAAGAGTGAGCAGTACTGTCCCCAGACCCCCAGCCGTTAGCCATTTTTGGGTAGAGAAACCCAACAGTTCCATAAACAATGAAACAGCAGCGACCCATGCAGCAGTGTAAATAGCCTTTCCAGCAAAACTAAAACCCATCTGCCATAACAAGAAACAGATAAATATATTTCTAAATAACCCCCCCCCCCCCCCCACCCCTTAGCTGGAGAGTCGTAAAATATATCATCATCTCTTCGCAAGTACAACTTGTGAATCAGCCAACTGAGTTTTTGTACATCTATGTCGAAGGAGTTTATTCATGCAGAACAGCTAAAATAAATTGTATATTTCACAAAAAGTAAACATGTTTGGAAGGAGAAAATGCTTATTTGTTCGTAAGAGTCACAATCTGAAATGCAACTCAAATATACTCTATATCACCTTCGTTAATGGAATGATTGGACGTAATAGGAAACACACTTAATTTCAACTAAAACACCGCCCTACAGTTGAGGAACATAACATGTAGGTAGCTGCAGGTGATTTCTCACAATTTCAAGTCGTAAACTAGGAAGACCAAGAACCATCAGTGAAAATGAAAGTGTCCAAATCCTTTTTAAGGATAGAGAGACGTACATTTCTGGTATCAGCAGGATTATTTGTCTCCATAAAAAATTTCTGGGCCTGCTGAAGTAGGCTGCAGAAATGACATAGTAAATGACATGACTCAGTAATTGAAAACCATTTGGAACGCAATATAGCTAAGTTATGAAATATATAAAAGGATTAAAACAAATAGCATGTTTTCCAATCAGTTCCAACTAGTTGGCAGCACCTAAATGCTGAACCTAAGGAAAGGTCATTTAGGACTTGTGAAGACTTGCATTCTTAAGCAAGTACTTAAACAGCCAAGCTCAATGTAGCAGTGTTCTTGAAACAACAGTATATAGGAACTCTTGCTTACCTTGATAAACAGCAAGCAAATGCCAACACCGTTGACATGGACCGAGCAAAGCTCAGAAGACGCTGTTTAATAGCCTGGCTGGCACTTGATGGCAATACAATTGGGTCCAATGTTCTGAGAGAAAATTCCATATTGGTTTTAGTGTATAAAACTGATAGTTAACTAGTTAAGAAACTAAAATACTGTCGACCTGCATAAAAGGATTGCTCCACTCCAAAGCAGTAGAGGCTGGAGATATGACACAACAATGTATTGCGTGCTACTTCTCTGTGAATTTGCATCATTTCCCTTCTGAAATTATAGTTTTAACCACTTAAAACATAAAGCAAGTAATCCAGGAACCGAAGGAATGTATAAGGGAAATGACATCTCACCTCAAACATGGTAGCTCTGGCAAGGCGCAGAAGGGGTCTAAGACCCCATGTAGCAAATGCAAGAATCCCAACGGCTGGAATTAGTTTCACTAAATGAGGATATCCGCGTAAAGCATCATATGCCCTGATATCAATAACGAACATTTCAGGTAACATTTCAGAACTATTCACTTATTCTAACTACTGGTCTCTTTTGGGTCTCAGTTGTAAGCAGGCACGTATGAAGTGATTGTCAGTTAAGCATATCAGTGAATACGACTCGAGCATATCACCTTGTGAAGATTACTGCAGTTGATTTAAGAATGGGGCCTTCATTTCCATTCCCAGGCAAGACAGCTGACCGGCAAATGAATGCATTACACCTAGATGATACAGGTACTATTGAACCACTCAGGCTCTCCAGAAGCTGAAGACTCCAAACGTCTTGTCTCTAAGACAGCAGGAAAGGAAACATTAATAGAAGCCCACGTGAAGGTTATACTAGTTAAAATTCTATGACTTTACTTAAAACATGAAACTATGTTACAGAGGGGAGATAAATAGTAAACAAATGGCTAACAACTGTCACATTATAATCTATTTTAATTATCAGACCCAGAAGCACACAAAACTTAAATACACTAACAGATACACAGAACAAGAAACTAAACCATTGAACTATGCTATGAGCACAGAGGATACCGTGGCTGATGATGAAAGCAGACCAGTCCGAGTCAGAGACATACGATTTTTACCAGCAACACTCTGCACAAACCAAAAAAAAAAGAGAATTTAGACACACCCAGTAATCAAAACGCAGGAAACTGACCAACAGCCAAACACAAAAAGAAAAAAACCCACATACATTATGGTATCCAGAAGCTTCATGGATCTTATGAACATTCAGATCATGAGACAATGGTAGAGAGACAGTACGCATCATCATCCCAACTAAACTCCTCTATACAATCAATTATCCTGCACAATCATTCAAACGATTCGTGTAATTCTAACTTCACAACATGCAACAAAAAAGGACGATTACTTCGAATTATCCGAAATTCGCACTAATCGAAGCCGATCTTTTACTAATCAAGGATGATTACATTCCGAATCACACTTCCTATTCAAGTTTTGGCCTGATTGAGAAAAAAAGTTACCTAATACGTACGGAATTGAGAAAACCCAGAGTGATCGGAAACAAAACGGCGAGGAGAAGCAATCAGATAAGATGAGAGAGGGAGAGAGAGAGAAGTGAGTTTCTTCTTCGTCTTCTTCGTCTCTGTCTTGTTGTTGTTGATGAGTTTCTTGCTTTAGCTCCGAGAAGAACAACAACAACCACAAGACATGCCTAGAGCTAACGTGCGCGAGGAGGAGGTACACGTAGTCTTACTAAAATACGCTTCTTCGTGGCAGACTCATCTCAAAACGATCACTTCTTTCCGAGTTTTGGGATTAGAGACGAAATGAAATGATGAGTTTGGTTGATATTTTTTCAATTTTCTTCTTTTTTTGCGTGGTCCCGCAAATTTACGATTTTTCACCAAACGGAAGCTTTTGAGTCTTATCCGAATAGTAGTACTTTCCACGTGATCTATAATCGAAATGGACCGTGTTGTGTTTCTCCACCGACCATTCTAGGCCCAGGCCCAACTTTAGCTTCTTCTGTTACTAATACGGCCCATTAAATACGTTGCGATATTGGACGGCGACGAAGTTAAAAATTCCAACCAAACTTAGAAAAAAACCGAATCCGAACCAAAACTAGAGGAACCGAAAATGACTAAAAACCGAATAGAACTTATATTTAAGATTTAGAAGTATTTGAACCAAATCTTACCAAACCAACTCAATCAAGCTTCGAATGGATGTCTGAAATATTTTTAATACAAGTTATTTTTAGACTGAAAAACTAAACAAAAATGTGTCCAAATATATAAAAATATCTGAATAGTCAAACCAAATACCCAAATCGAAATGAACCAAAAATAACTAAAAATATCGCAAACCACCTTAAAAATCCGGAAAATACTTGAATTATCACAAAATATCTAAACTTTTTGGGTTAATTACGAAACCAAAAAATACACAAAAATAGTTCGGTTTTAGATCTTTTCTTGTTCAAATCCGAAACCACAAGGTACCGAATTGAGACTGAACAGAAATTTCAACCAAACCAAAAAAAAATTCAAATGGATAACCGAACCGAGGTAAAACCGAACCGAGTTCAAACCGAACCGAGGCTGTTTTCATCAGAAACAATCAGCAAACTAAACCGGAAAACAGATTACCAAATCCTGATTCACAAATTTTCTGGTATTGTAATTTTCTCCGTCACACCAAAATCATCATGACGAAGACGACGGCGAAGTCAAAATCTCAGTCTCTCTCAGCCCCTCGCTCCTCCCCGCCGCGTACTCGCTCCAAAACACTACCGGAATCTTCTAATCCCTCGCCGCGTACTCACCCCAAACCAAAACGCAATTTCTCGCCGCTTCCACGAACACCGTTCTCTCTAGGAGCAATCACACCAATCGGAACAAGAAAAGACGTCACATTATCCGATTGGTGGCTAACAAGAAAAGGAAAAGAGAAGAAGAAAGGTTCTTTATGTATCACAGGATTCGAATCATCAAAACACGGATCTGAAATGAGACTATTCTCATCAGGAACAATCGTCAAAAGACATAACAGTATCACTCTCGAAGCAATTGATGGGATCACAATTAGTATCAGTGGTTTCATCAATCGATCTCGTAGTCTACAAAACGGAATCTCAAACGAGGTTTGTAATCGTTTTCTTTTAGGGTTTCCTTATAACTATGAAGAAGAAGAAGAGATGAAGAATGATGATTTTAGCGTTTCGTTTGATGATATCCCTGTGAATAGGTTACATGATCTTAGTTTCGTTAAGGGTTGTTTGAAAAACAAGATCTTGGATGATGTTGTTGGTAGTTTAAAGGATTTGGTTTGTTCTGAATCAGATAAGAGTTGTGAGAAATCAAGAGTTGTTGTTGTTGATGATGATGATGATGAGAGTTTGGTTTCGAGTGTTGTTGTGGGAGTGAAGACTAGAGCTATGAGACGTAGAGAGGAAGAGTATGAGTCTTCTATTGGAAAGAGAGCTAAGAAGAGGAGACAAGGAAGAAGAAGAAGTTAAGCTTTCATTGACATTGTTGTAGCTCAACTCTAAACTTAAACACCATTGTGTATGACATCTGAAGAGAGTTTTGTGATTTATAACACTCTTTTGACTACATCCTAATCATTTTGGACCTTGAAAACAGATTTTGCAATGTTAATTTTTGTACCTGACAACAACAAAAAAAACATACACAATCACATTATTTTTGATTGGTCTTTACATTTTAGTTATTTGTTTTTCTTTTGCTAATTAGGTTATTGTCAAAGGTAACATCCTAAAAATAAGGTTGATCAAAGGATCTACCAAAATACTCGGGCCTGTCCACTACACACGGACAAAGCTTCTTTCTTTCTTCTTGGTCTGATCTTGAAACTCTCCAAGTTTCAGTTTTTACACCTACACCACGATTATGAGTCGGTCATGTTTGAGTCTTCTTCTTCTACCTTAGGACAAGAAAGATGTTGCAGAGAGCAGCGAGCAATGCGTATTCATGGTGGTGGGCAAGCCACATACGTACGAAGCAATCTAAATGGCTCGAACACAATCTTCAGGGTACGTTCATTTATTACATGGTTCACATTTCACCTATTTTGTTATATGTTCTCGATCCAGTGTGTGTCATATAACGAAGAACTCTCTGGTGTTGTAGATATGGAAGAGAAGGTTGAGTATACTCTTAAGATTATAGATGAAGATGGAGATACTTTTGCCAAAAGAGCTGAGATGTATTACCGTAAAAGGCCAGAGATTGTTAATTTCGTGGAGGAAGCTTTTAGATCGTACCGCGCATTAGCTGAACGTTATGATCATTTATCTAGAGAGCTTCAAAGCGCAAATCGCACAATCGCCACAGCTTTCCCTGAACATGTTCAGTTTCCTTTGGAAGATGATAGTGATGAAACTGAAGATTATCTGCGGAAACCGCCTAAGCATCTTCATCTTATACCAAAAGGAAGCAACATACCTGAAGTCCCGGATATTCCAATGAAGAAAGATTTCAGGAGTCAGTCTATGATGTTGTCTAGAAAAGGACCAGCTGGTCTGAAAAGGACAGTATCTTCTGCACTAGCGAAGCGGGAAGCGGCGATTGTGAGTTCGGGATTGAGTAAAGAAGAGGGCTTGGAAGAGATTGATAAGCTTCAGAAAGGGATTTTGGCATTGCAGACCGAGAAGGAGTTTGTGAGGAGCTCATATGAGCAGTCTTATGAGAGGTATTGGGATTTGGAAAATGAAGTGACAGAGATGCAGAAGAGGGTTTGTAACTTACAAGATGAGTTTGGTCTTGGTGCTGCGATTGATGATAGTGATGCTAGGACCTTGATGGCAAGCACCGCCTTGAGCTCTTGTAAGGATACACTTGCTAAGCTAGAGGAGAGACAGAAGCAATCTGTTGAAGAAGCAGAAACTGAGAAGGAAAGGATCAAGACTGCTAAAGAAAGGTTTGATGCATTGAGGAACAAATTTGAGAAATCAGAAAGCGATTATCATGATGAGGTTATTAAAACAGAAGTAGAAGAGGAAGAAGAAGGTGATGTGGTTCAAGAATCAAGCTATGAATCTGAGAGAGAAGAATCAAACGAGAATTTTACTGTTGTGAAACTTGTAGAGAAAATTGATGATCTTGTGCATAGGGTTGTTTCATTGGAGACCAATGCCTCGTCTCATACTGCATTGGTGAAGACATTAAGATCAGAGACAGATGACTTGCATGAACATATCCGTGGTCTAGAGGAGGACAAGGCGTCTCTTGTTTCAGATTCCACGGATATGAAAAAGAGGATAACGGTGCTTGAAGACGAGCTGAGAAATGTTAGAAAACTATTCCAAAAAGTCGAAGATCAAAACAAGAATTTACAGAACCAATTCAAGGTAGCCAATAGGACCGCTGAAGATTTATCTGGCAAGTTACAAGATGTGAAGATGGATGAAGATGTCGAAGGAGCTGGAATTTTCCAGGAACTGCCAGTTGTTTCAGGATCAGAAGATTCTCGCGATGATTTAAAGTCAATCTTAAGAGAGACTGAAACAAGTAGTTTGGAGGAAAGGAAGAAAGATGCAACTGTAGTTAGAGAGAGTGAAGACGGTGAAAGATCTCAAGAAGAGAAATCAGAGATGAAAGATGCTTTAGCTTTATCAGAAACCGCAAGCACTTGTTTTGGTACAGAAACAGAAGATCTGGTAACGGAAGACGAGGATGAAGAGACACCAAACTGGAGGCAGTTGTTACCAGATGGCATGGAGGATAGAGAGAAGGTTCTGTTAGATGAATACACATCAGTGCTAAGGGATTATAGAGAAGTAAAGAGAAAGTTAGGTGACGTTGAGAAGAAGAACCGGGAAGGATTCTTTGAGCTAGCATTACAGTTGAGAGAACTCAAGAATGCTGTTGCTTACAAAGACGTAGAGATTCAGTCATTACGCCACAAACTCGACTCGCCAGGGAAAGATTCACCCCATCAAGTAGAAGGAAATAACCAGTTGGAACATGATCAAGGACAGCGCGAAAGTGTGAGCATTTCGCCAACTTCTAACTTTTCAGTTTCCACTACGCCACATCATCAAGGAGGAGATGTGAAAAGAACACCTGGAAGAACAAAGCCCAATGAGGTCAGGGTCAAATTTGCAGATGTTGATGACAGCCCGAGAACAAAGATTCCAACTGTTGAAGACAAAATACGTGCAGATATTGACTCAGTGTTGGAAGAGAATCTCGAGTTCTGGTTAAGATTCAGCACATCAGTACATCAGATACAGAAGTACCAGACAACAGTTCAAGATCTGAAATCAGAGCTATCGAAACTGAGAATCGAAAGCAAGCAACAGCTGGAATCTCCAAGAAGTAGTAGTAATCCTGCAGTTGCATCAGAAGCAAAGCCTATCTATAGACACCTAAGAGAGATTCGAACAGAGCTACAGTTATGGCTAGAGAACAGTGCGGTTCTTAAAGACGAACTCCAGGGAAGGTATGCATCGTTAGCTAATATCCAAGAGGAGATCGCAAGAGTCACTGCTCAGTCCGGTGGCAGTAAAGTAAGTGACTCAGAGATTAGTGGTTACCAAGCTGCAAAGTTCCATGGAGAGATACTTAACATGAAACAGGAGAACAAAAGGGTCTCGACTGAACTTCAATCGGGTCTTGATCGTGTAAGAGCGATGAAAACTGAAGTGGAGAGGATTCTGACTAAATTAGAAGAGGATCTTGGGATCACAAGTGCAACAGAAGCAAGAACAACTCCTAGCAAGAGCTCGTCAAGTGGAAGACCGAGGATTCCATTACGGTCATTCTTGTTTGGTGTCAAGTTAAAGAAGCATAGACAACAGAAGCAATCTTCATCATCCCTCTTCTCTTGTGTCAGTCCATCTCCAGGTTTGCAAAAGCAGTCTAGTTACATTAGGTCTCCTGGAAAGCTCCCAGAATAATCCATTAGTCACATCTTTGTTATCTCCCTTTTCAGTTCCTTGTTTTCTAGCTTTTCTGTCTTGTACCTGTGGAAGAACCAATGAGATGCAAATGAAAGTGTATGTTTTTGCTTTCACTGTTTTCTAAACTTTGAAAATCTCGAAGTAAACTTAACTCATATTACTTAATTAGTAGTAAGAACCTTATATTTAGGAGGTCCTACTGTACATCATCATATTCTTGTCTGAGTCCTAAGAAAAAACATTAATGAAAGCACCAAAACAATGCAGTAAATAAATTATAACTCCTTCTGCCTTGTCCCTGTTACGGCTGCAACATCTTGACTTTCTCTGTGACTTGCTTCATCTTTGGATTTTGATTCAGCTGCAGCTACTACTAGAGGTGTCGTCGTGGTACTACTTTCTTTTTCAGGTGGTTTAGCCAACAAAATTTTATCAGTGGAACTGCCAACTACTTGGTTTTTCTTAGGCATAAGACTAGGAGTCTCCACTTGTGTAGCCACCACATTTGATGTGCTAATCACTGAATTTGTTGGGAGAGTTTTATTTAGCGGAAGTGCTGTTGTAGCCAAGGAGCTTGCTCTGTCTCCCTGAGTTTGCTGTTTTTGTACACCCACCAGCTTCGAAACTGCAGCAACTGCTGCTCCAACACTTGGCTTTTGTGGCATAACAGTAGCTGCAGGAACTCTCTGTGTAGGGGCCAACCTTGACGATGCAAAACTAGGAGGAACTGAATTATTCTGGATTGTAGATCCTTTGGGGAGAGGAGCCATAAGTGAAGGCTTACTAGAGGGTGATGAAGATATCACGTGATTTGAGCTTCCGTTAACTGCATGCCTTAAATTCACAGGTCCAACCGCTTTAGTGTTACTGGCAGTAGCTGAAACACTCTTTACTGGCTCAGCCTTTGGTGCTGATAGAATATTTGATGGACGAGGCAAAGAGGCTGCAGGAGCGGTTTTTACAGGCGCAGCCCTTGGTGGTGATATAACAATACCTGATGGACGAGGCAAAGCGGCTGCAGAAGCGGGTTTTAGAGGCTCAGCCTTTGGTGCTGATATCATACTGGATGGACGGGGCAAAGAGACTGCAGACGCGGCGGATTTTACAGGATCAGTCTTTGGTGCTGATATAATACCTGATGGACGAGGAAAAGAGGCTGCAGAAATGGCAGTTTTTACAGGCTCAGCCTTTGGTGCTGATACAATACCTGATGGACGAGGTAAAGAGGCTGCCGCAGCCGCAGTTTTTACAGGCTCAGCCTTTGGTGCTGAAGTTATACCTAATGGACGAGGCACAGAGGCTGCAGAAGCGGGTTTTAGAGGCTCAGCCTTTGGTGCTGATATCATACCGGATGGACGGGGCAAAGAGGCTGCAGACGCAGCGGATTTTACAGGCTCAGCCTTTGGTGCGGATATAATACCTGATGGACGAGGAAAAGAGGCTGCAGAAGTGGCGGTTTTTGCAGGCTCAGCCTTTGGTGCTGATATAATACCTGATGGACGAGGTAAAGAGGCTGCAGCAGCAGCAGTTTTTACAGGCTCAACCTTTGGTGCTGAAACTATACCTAGTGGACGAGGCACAGAGGCTGCCGAAACAGTTTTTATAGGCTCAGCATTCAGTACTGATGATATACCAGAAGGACGAGGCAAAGAGGCTGTGGAAGTGGTTTTTACGGGTTCAACCTTCGGCACCAACGCAGAAACATTATTCTTTCCTGGTTCAGTCTTTGGCACTGATACAGCAGTTGCCAGGCCAGACATACAGGCAGCAGCAGCTGCTGAATTAGCGGTTACCATTAGTTCTACTCTGGAACTGGAATTTGTTGTTGTTTTCTTCCCAGGAACTCGAGATTTTATACTTGAAGCTGATACAGCTGGCCGTGGCAAAGCTTGAGGTTGTGGCTGAGACTGTTGTTGACCTTGCAATGTACTACCACTGTTGGCACCATTGGCTTGTGCCCCTGTGATGGTACCGGATGAAAGCATTGGAGGTGTACCTAAAAAAACACAGTCATATTTGACAAATATAATTGAGAAAAGCGTTGGGACTAAAACAATTTTGACTAAGCTGGAAAGGGTATTCTGTTACTCATACCTACTGCAAGTTTTTTTGAGGGTAGCCGATTTCCCACTGCTAAAGATAATGCACGATTAGCTGCCATTTGTGCTTCTGTTCGCTGTATCCCTGTTTGGGTAGAAGTGTTTGAAGTATCACACCTTCTCCTTATAGCCCCCCACCGCTGCAAATAAGAAAATTCAGTTTGTAACCACCCGTTCACTTAAAATTGCATATCAAAACAAAAGCATCACAGATACTCATCCGATATTATCCCAAGATATCTTTCTTACCACTACTTATAAAGTATACCTGGAACCATCAGAAATAGCTGATAAAACAGTATCTACAAAAATGGTGGACAGAGGATTTATTGCCTAGAGCAGCTGTTTTCTATGTTTTTAAGAGATATTAGTCATATTATTTAGAGATCCGTTGCCGGGATTTGAACCCGGGAAAAATGGGGAAAACCCACATCAAGACCAAACTAGATGACAACGGATATATTTCTAAAGTATAACCACACTTCTGTTGATAGTATTCGATAAAGAAGAAAGTGGTGATGGCAATGCGACCTAGTGTCATCTAAACAAAGTGTGACATATAGCTTAAAAAAATTTGAAAGCATAAGGAGCTTATCATAAAGTTTTGTATTAAAGGGTCTGCTAATGTTCGTATCTTCCAAGTAAACACTCAGATAATGATGCATATGCTGGTAGTAATACCAAGAATAAGGCACTATGAAAAATATGAGGAAGGGACTGCAGTATTAACAACAGAGCAAACCATCACCCCTCATGCAACCTCGCTATACACTCAAAGTCAAAATCCTAGATCATACTCATTTTAGCTATAGAGAAATTAGAGAGCCACTTCATTTGAAGCTCAAATTCCTTACCATAACTCTATGACTACGAAATAGCTCTCTGCATGTGATGGTAAAGAAAGACCATGCATATAACACATAAACAGGAAAGAATGCATAATGTTTTTGAAGATAATTCAAATATATGAGGAAAACGAGGAAACAATAACAGCCCAGTGAAATTAAGACCTGCGAGAGTTGTGAGGGTGTTCGCTCTCCCTCGAATTCTTCCTTAGCGATAAGGGCCCAGCTGCCTTCACCATGTCGCTTAACAGCAGCAATAAGCTCCTCATCCTCCTCGGCTGACCATTTTTTTCTTCTCTTTCGAGGAGCCATGCTACTGGCTAACCCATTTCCATTATGTCCCTCAGCTGCTTTTGGAAGAGAAACAGGAAAGGTGATATTCATCCCTCTTGACGACCAAAAGGAGTCTGATGGTTCCTGAGCACCCCTAGGGAGGCAGTAAGGTATGTTAATGGTCATGGGAGCCTCAACAGTTGAGTCTTCAGGAATATCAGACTCACTTGGCACATAGGAAGAAGCCATCACCTAGAAGAAGGATAGAAAAAACAGAAAACTTGGCATCAGGATCAGTAGGAACTCAGAATAAGCAGATATCAACAACCACAACTTAATGAGCGCTATACACTAACTGAGATTCTGATCATAAAGAAAACTAACTGAGATTCGGATCATACATAGTCAGCCAATTTTTTAGAATTTAACATAATAGAAATATCAAGACCAACACTGACAGAGTAAAGGGTCAAAGGGACCGTCTAAAATACTATAATAGAACACTTGGAGAAAAATAATACAAACATAAGCTCCTTGTCATCAGAAGAATCAAATTACTAATGAAAATAATGCAAATAGTTTCTCCTGCCTGCTTTTCATCACATAACCCAAAAATCCAACAAAAGGAAGATGCAATCATAATCTGCTATTTCTCTCATAGTCAATAAATCTCAATAAAGAATAACACCAAACCATTGCTGAATATCTAAAAGACTATCTCTAAAATCACCTACATAAATCTTAAAAATAGCGACTAATACAGTTATAAAGAAGACCTGAATGCATGGCAAATAGATACACAGAAGGAACTTATATATCTCTCAGGAGAAAGTGTCACAGAGAAACAGGACTTATGAAGCAAAACTATAGAAAACAAGGTATTTTCTTACTTTTACATGCGCAACAGCTTCTGTTACTATATCAACACTGACTGCAGGGGAGGCTTCCAATTCACACTCCATATCACTATCATCATTCTGCACAAGCAAGTTCGTTAAAATTTGCAAAATTAAGTCTTGTACTGCACAGTCATCAATATTAAGAAAAACAGCTACTCATCAGATACTATCTCCTAGGTAACACGTAAGTATCCCGGAAAAAAAAAAAGATAACGATACAGACGTTAACAATGCAACATAAGTTATAGTACAGTATATCCTCTGTTCTTCGACCCATCCAGCCAAACATAACCAACCTCCCAAGAAACCGTAACAATACCCTAAGAAAAGAGAGGATAAAACATCCTTAACTGAAAAGAACTCAGATGCCAAATCGAAATTCCAACAAGAAGATGCACATAGTAATATGTATCATCAGAAACATCAATAGACCATACAATCACCATACAATGCAAAGCAATAAAAAAACCCATAAAAGCACAGCAGACTAACCATAAGTTGAGCATTATCTTCCACAGGGAGAAGAGAATCTCGATAAGCAAGATGCCGCCATAGCAACTGATATTCTCTAGCATTAGTAATTCCAGTACTAGTCTTCTTCACTAACTCATTCCAATCCATCTTAGTATCAGCATAATAAGCCATTTCTTGTAGCAACCTCAGAATCGTCATAGTATCATATCTGCAAACAAACAAATAGATGTCAAATCACAAAAAACCTATGAGAGATGAAAATCGAATACAAACAAGTTTGGAAAGAGACCTCTCCAAAAGAGTGGCGATGTCTGCTTCACTGATAAACTCCTTCCTCTTCTTATTATTACTGTTATCAACCATCTTCGCTCGTGGTTTTCGTGACAGCAATCACATGTTACGATTTGATTCAAATCTGCGGCGACGTGACGACGGTGGTGTCGGTTTCAGTGACAAACCCTAATTAGGATTTTTGAGATTGAGAGAGAGGCGGTGGGGATTGGTGTATTAGAGCTGGGAGAAGCGGACGCAATTGTTACCGGAGATGGAGAAGGTAATCGAGACGATGATCGGAGAGAGGAGGAGATAGTGGAAGCGCGTGGAGGTCACGCGTGCGGCTTTGGGTTTTGATTTTTTTGATGAGGGAAAAAAAACGAAGCGACGGAGGAGGAGAACGGTTGCAGTCAGGCTCGCCGCTTGACTAGAGAGATATGAGAATCTAGACTACTACGATGTTTTCAAATTTACTGATTTGCCCCACTGAATGAAGTTTATTTTTTTCTGACATGTGATTTTTACGGCTTTATATTGGTTAAGAGTTCTTAATATTTTTTCCAATTTTGAAACTAAAATTTATTTTATATAAATAACTACATGTTTCGATTAATATGATTTTATGTATGGATGGATAATTTTTGGAAAGTAGTATTGGAAAAGAAGTGTTTTGGAAACTTCCTTTAAATTTGATATGTGTCTAAATATTAATGCATAGAAAAATTATTTAATCTGAATTTTAATTACAGTAAAACCTCTATAAATTAATAATGTTGGGACCATGAAAATCTATTAATTTATAGAGGTTTTAATTTATCGATAAATTAATAATTATTAATTTATAGAGAGATTTTCCTAATTTGGAAAGTTTTTTCAAAAAAATAATTAAAAATAAGATTTAGTCATGATAATTAGTATTTTATATAATTAATTACAAAGAAAATAATAACTATTATGTCTTGAAAGAGAATGCTAACTATTTTTGATATAGTAAAATATTAGAAATAAACTCTAACAAAAACTAATGTGTCTATATATGCATATATTTTAAAAATTTTACCTAATTATTAATTTATAATATTGTTGGGACCATATATTTACAAAGGATTTTCAAAAAAATTATTATCTTATTATTTTATCGAAATATGCCTAAAATTACACTGGTCCCAACTTGGGACCAGAGAAATTTATTAATTTATAGAGATTATTAATTTATCGAGTATTAATTTATAGAGGTTTTACTGTATGCTAAAAATCATTTGAGCATTAACATACAGTATAATAAAACCTCAAATTTAATTTAGAAACTACATACAATTATAAAAATATCAAATTATTCGAGATTTGAAGTGTGTCTTTTCATTTTCCTTCTCAGAAGATTTATCGCCATCTTCTAACTAACAAAAAAAAAAAAATTCAAAGCTAGTGAAAAAAAGACAAAGTTATGAGATCAAACTTTTTAAAATAGGTTAAGCAATTTTAAAAAAATAACTAAAGAAGAACTAGAAATCATAATAAACAAAAAAATAATAATAATTAAAGATTAAAAAATCAAAAAAAATATAGAAAAATATGACAAAAGTCGAGGAAAAATATGGTCAAAAAGAAATATACTAAAGTTTAAAAGTGTAGAAAATGATGAATTCAATGAAAGATATGCGGGAAAAAATTTACAAATGGTAAATTGAGAAAAATCTATCTTATTATTGCAGGCGGATTCTCTTATGCGATCTTTAATACTTCATCACTCGAACTTCTCAATTCCTCCCTCCTTTCTTAAGAATTCAAATGCATCTTTCAATGCCTACAAAATGCATTGCATTAAAACAAATTATGGTCGTTCAATATTATATGATATTGCGGAAACTAAAAAAAACAGGTGAACATATTCATACCTTAGTGAAGAGAGTGTGGTTCTAAAAACACTTAATGATATAGACCATGTATTTATCTTGTAGCTCATTTACTACCTTAAGCCATGAAAGGAAAATGAAAATTTCTTAGCAATAATCAGAAAGGGAGTAAAGTAACATCTATAGAGTCCTATGGCTAAAATGATTCAAAAAGGATTATAAACCTGATTAGTAGATGTGTCGTCTGTTTGTTTGATAAGTGAAGTCCCATCTTCAATAATATGCTATACATATACAATTCCAATTAAAGTCAATATTTTCATGTAATGAAAACAAATAAAAAGTGAGTTTAAGATCAAAAATAAAACCTTCTTGAATAAGTAAGCAATAGGTTCCAAGCCTTGAGGGATTGGTTGATAAAGCATGTACATCCTAGAGATATCATCCATCTAAAAGTATGTAATACAAACAATCAAGAAACAATATAAATACTTTGCTTTATGAAAAAAACAACACAAAACTCGTCTAACCTTGTCATCTCTAAGCAATGCACCACACCCTGAGTGCTCATTTTCTAGAAGCTGTTTTGCAACCACTACCAACAATTCATTTTGTACTTTCTACATTCAAAAATATAACAATGCTTGTGACAAGCTCAAAATATGAAATTAAGTAATCATAATTTAGAGAATATATGTTATAACGAACCTCAACTAGTTTGGGTTCAGTGGTTGGATGAAGGTAATGAGTGACTCTCTCCTTCTCCTTCTTTAGAGACTACTCAGCCTACGATATAAAATTACTGACGTTAATACAAATAATCGCGCGAAAAACACAGTCCCGAAAATGATAACTAAAGATGACATATATGCCTTTAGCATGTAATCAGGACAAGAGTCCTCCTTGATCAACATTGATGCCTTGAGAGAATAGTAAGAAACAGTCTCTTGAAGCATGAAGCTTTCAAAATCCTCTTCATATTTTACCATAGTTCCCATCCCATTCTCCACATAGACATCTAATACGTTTTTCACTAGTTCCCTATCAATCTCTTCGCCCTCACGTTCTTTACGAATCTGGCAAACACAAAATTTTGTTAGATACAAATAGGCTAGACCGGAACTTTTTTCCATTACAAGTGCTATTACAGCTTTTGTGGCCGTGGGATGCATCTCAAGATAAACCTAAGGTAAATAATTGTATATATGGACGTTTACAAAAAAAATGTTCGAAGCAAGTGACAAATTAGAACCGTAGTTATAGGAATATGCATGACAAACCAGGTCGCAGAAGCATGTCAAACCAACTTCACTCACTGTTGGAATGTCTCGCTTAGGAACATAGTAACGATCAATATGTGCGAAGAATCTGGCTAACCATCTAAGCATAACATTATGGTTATTCCACCTTTTAACAAGCTCTTGTAACATATATTCATCGGTCTTCTCCCTTAAAGACGGCAACACCTAATAGAACTACTTATTCATTACACTGTTGGATACATTCAAGAATACATAAAAATTTGCTACTCACGTACCATTTGTATAGTATAATCTTCAATAACTTCACGATACTTATCGTAACGCGGATGTGAGTAATCATGGTTTTGTTTGCACATAGTGTAGATAGTCCTGTAAATTAACCATTGTGGTAAGTAAATACACGTCCAGAAATGTTAACAAGAAACATTACATAAGACCACAAACATTACGTACGTGTAAAGAGTCATATAGTCATTAGAATCAAATGGTGGTTCAGGCTCTCCTTCTATAATCCTTATCACCTTGGTAATACCTTTCTGCATGTAAGCCCATCCTTGCTCAAATTTAATCTCTTTGCTCATCTTTCTAGAATCTGGTTTAAGCTCTCTTATATATCAGATATTGTAGTACGTAAAGTACTAGATATATAGAATCACATGAGAGGCGACGTAGCATTATAACTCGATCAAGAAGATCTGCAAATGAACCATAAGAAACTAAGACATCACGTTTGTGTTCTAATCAATAGTTGTGTAAGTCTTTTGATTCCAACTAAAAAAACTTAGGAGAATCTGATCTACAAATGAATAAGATGGAAGGTATAGTTTGATTTTACCCTTGAAGCTTCTCCACCTCTGGTTACAAAGAATGAAGAGTTTTTTCTTTTTCTTTTTGAAAGGGTTCTTGTTGGAATTGAACCTTTGATTAGTCCTGCACAAAGAGTAACAATCAGTGTGAGGCTAGGATGATAAGAAGAAGAGTCAAGAAGAAGACGCGTGGGAAGAGGAGTCAACGTGGAAAAGTCAACAATAGGAAAATAAGTTTGTATGGTTTAGTCAAGAGTTGTTAGTGTCTCAATGAAGTAGTGTGGTTTCACTTTCACTGGCTTGTGTAAGAACATAGAACCTAGAAGTTGAAGAAACAGAGGAGCTGAAGCACAACATTGAAGACATGGTTTTGTATGGTCTTTCTTTTTCATGAACTTACTAGATATTATATCAATGGGTCAATTCTGATGAAAGTGTCTATATATATATATATATTCATCAATGGTTTTTGTTTATTTATGTCCACTATTTGAGTTGATCTTCACTTTAATTACATGAGTGGTCTTGCCTGTTGTCTAATATATATACAGTTTCAAAGGTTTGAATGTTAAGGCGACCAAAACGTTTCCAAAAAGTTGTCTAATCCTCCAATAGTTTTTTTTTAGCTACCAATTTAACTCTAAACAAGCCATATATTACATTTGGGAGAAAATATAGATGTATAATCTAATGAATTTTTGTTTTTTGTTTTTTTTTTCTTTCTAAAAATGAATTTGGATATTTATAGAAAAAAAAAATTTGCGAGTCTTAAGGTGTTGAAAAAAAAAATAGAATTACGGAAACAAGATCCTTTGAAACCGGAATTCAAGAAATTAGCTAGCTTAACTTAGATATGATTATATGTATATATAAAAGTTTTCATCCCTATATTAGTAAAAGAGAAGTACAAAAAGTGCTTTCGGGTCGGGTCAATTTAAAAAAATTACCCGAAATTTGTAATTGGATATTTTAAAGTTGGATAGATTAATGGGTTTGGATACATACACCGGATATTTTCCAAATCTAATTTTAGAATTGTATTATTTCCATAATTAATTATATGATTTACTAATATTTCTCTAACTAATTTAATACAATCTATTTAAAATATATTATTCTTCTTTCACTTTTATTTGATATTATTTTTAATTTGTGATATTATACTATATAATATAAATATTTAATAATTTTTTTTTTTTTGCATATGTTGCAATTTGAATTTTTCAAAACGAACATATAATACTCAACTATACTCGATAAAATATTTTGTAAAATGGTTTAAAATCATTATAAGTATGACCAATATTAAAACCATTGTTACATGAGCATATTTAAAATTTCAAATAGTTTCAAAATTTTATAAATAAAAGGTTCAAATATATAAAAGTTTTAGAATTTAAAGTATTGAAATATTTTTGAAGACATAAATGTAATTTGGAGACATAATTTTTATTGATAAAATATTTTATATATCAAACAATGTAAATTTTAGATAATTCACGGGTAGTTTGTTAAAATCACAATTATAATGATAAAGCGAGTTACGAATTATGTTTTTTAAGAAATAAATTCTGTTACGGGTTGGACTTTCAAAAAATATATTGTAATTATGTAATTTTACGTATATTCGTACTTTTACTACAAAAATGGTCAAAATGAATAATTTATCGACAAATACTATTTTGTGCTGTTAAATTTTCACCGTGTTTTTAATTGTATCAAAACTCAGTATATGATTATTTACTTGCTTTTTCTTTTATTATTTTATTTGAACTTATTAATTATACAAATATATGATTTACCGTAATCGACTGCACTATAACAAAATTAAAATGTAACATATTTTAATCCGCTAAAAGTTATATATGTGTAATTATTTCTCCCGCGCTATAGCGCGGGTCCGAACCTAGTCTTTCTTTTAAGTTATAAAACACAATCAACTCTTTTCTACCATTGACCATGAAGAAATCTTTTCAACTATCATTCATCGTTCTTACTATTGTAACCATTTTTGTGCTAGGTTTGTATACACATTTAAAATCATTTTAATATATATCTATTGCATATAATCACTCTTCTCATATAATTTTCTTTAAAATAATAGTCCACCTAAGTTATAAATATGTATCAAAAATATTTTGCACTACATAAATCAAAAGTAATGGTTTTAGCTTCTCTTTTTTTTTTTCTTTCTAAAACCTCAAAATCATAATATATCGTAAAAAATCGAATTCCTATACTTACAGAACCAATCCCAAAATACCTTTTTAGAATTCTTTACTACCCATTTTGGTTAATTCTTTCATATATAATATATATGGCCATGATGAAGAAGAAGTTCTATGTATCCGTTTCCACGTATATATTTTGGTTTTGTTTCCACGTATCCGTTTCCGTTTCCATGCAACATAGAGAAAAACTACAATATTGCGATATAAATCAATTATTTTCCTTTCCATATCATCAATTATTTTTGCTTAATGCATTAATGATGCTCCCTAATTTTTAATACAAAATTTATTTGATATCTTAATAACTATTATTATTTTTGCTTACTGAGATTTATGTTATCAGGAGTGGTGGGTAATGTGGAGCAGAAAAAACAATATAGACGATGTCTTCCATTTCCAGTGAACACAAAAACTGGATTTTGTGTGAACGACGATTGTGAGTCAATGTGCAAGAAGAAGGGTAAAGGCTTAGTGGGGATGTGTGGTGGGCATACTCCTAAAGGGAAAAATCCTACTAAATGCTTCTGTTGTGGTCTTTGGTCTTGGCCCTGATTATACTAATGTCGCTACCAAATTATTTACAATAAAATTCATATCATATTTATAATAAAGTAATTAAAGCCATGAATATATGGTTGCTGTTTTATAATTCAGTTTTTGGATTTTAAATTTTAGATTTCAGTTTTTTTTTTTTTGGTAGAATAGTTTTTAGTTTTATAGTTTTTCCTATTTAGGTTTTTGTTTTACAAATCCTAAAAAATAGTTTTTGGTCTTTGAGAAAAATAACGTAGAAAAGGTAAAAATTAGATTTCCTAAATTATAAGAGACATTAAATACTAATATCGTGAATGAGAGACTACGGGGGAGTTATTGGGAGATTGATTTTAAAAGAATTTGTAGATTTCAAAAGTTTAGAGATTTTAAGATTCTCAAAAAGATTTGTTGATTCTAAAATAATGTTTACCCAGATTTTTAGAGTTTAATAGATTTTTCATATGATAGACTCTACAAATTTTTATGATAATTTCAGTATTTTGAAAGTTGTTTTTAATGACTAAATATGTAAGGAATCATCAAACCAATAACACTAGAATTTGATAGAATTGGAAAATCAATAAATACTCAAGTTTTTGAATAACAAAGGATTTTAAATAGAATTACAAAATACATTCACCAATAACAAGAGATTTTATTAAAAATCTAAGAATTCGTACACCAATAATAATAGAATCTTAAACTCTAAAAATCTTTTAAAGTCATTCTCCCAATAACTCCCCCGCAACAAAAACCTAAATCTAAATTTTAAAAAATCTTGATTGGTTGAAAATGAGTTTTTGAAAAATATAAACCAAAGTATCATTCGACAAATCATTCAAGGCCATAAAACATTTGCTCAAAGTTTGTGGTCAATTTGTTTATACTAGAAATCACATAAAAAAAAACATGAATCAGATTTGGATATTTGAGATATATATATTGAGGAAGTTTTAATATCTCCTTATGGTACAAAAATATACAAACCATTTATTTGTTAATTTTTTTACCTTTAACTCTTTAAGATACACAGCTAATTATATTGTTCATTGTAATTCTCATGGTATTAATTATCATTTTGATTATTGTCCTAATCGATCTACTAACTCAAGACAAAGTACTATCAATATCAAACAACACTATGAACCATCGATATTCAGACTCGAGTCACTCGACTTAGTTATACCTAGTATTTGTTATTACTTCATATTTCATCTCAGTTCCGACCAATAAGAAAGATATTTCTAACATTTTTATATAATATTTTTTTTTTTGTATTCAAATTAGTAGAGACTAATCTCAGTAGATTTATAAATATATACACTAAGATATATGTATTATGGGCAAACATGATATATTCAAAGAACACCAAGTCAACACAACCCATATTGTAAGTTAGCATTTGACAGACAGTATATATAAAGAACTGTTCAAGTCAAGTCAAGACGTGTGAAGGACGGTTAATCATCATGTTTGATAAAGATGCTTAACCACATTGACTTGGCAAAAACACTTTGGAAAAATTGAATCCATTTACATCTTTCTATAAATAACTCATCTTGTCTTTGTATTCTTTCACTTCAAAACAACTCACAAGTAGTGAAGAAAGACCCAAAGAAACAAAAAAAAAAAAAAACAGAACAACTAAAGTATTAAAATGAAAGCGAAATCAAGACATGGAGGTTTGGTTGTAATGTTGGTTCTTGTAATTGTTTCTTGCTTCATCGAGAATATGGGTGAGCCTAATTAATATATGATCATGTGTTAATATATTCTATATATTATGCTTTTGTTGTTGTTATATTATGTATATAACAATCTTTCATGACAATTTTATCGTTAATTAATAATCATTAGCCAGGAGCTCGACCAAGGTTTCGTCTCATGAACATGTTCGAAGTTATCTACCTAGAAGTGTACCATTTGCTCTCTACAACAAAGACAAGATGCTAAAATCATTCCCATCTTATAATGAGTATCGCAAAAGATTCAATCTAGCCTCAGGTTTTGTTTTTAAGAATTCTCTAACATCAATTTTACTCTTTACGTACTCAAAAACTCATTTGTGATGGATCTTGAATCATTTTATGCAGTGGATGTTTGGCAAACAGCGAGAAGCAAGAGTAGAGATGGTTTCATCACATTGAGCATAAAATCAATGCATTTTTTCGTCTCAAAGTTTGTGCAGTTGAGATATTCGATATCAACAGCAACACCAGTGAGTCGCTCTTGGACTTGTCGAATTATTTTCTGGGTAACATTAACTCGATCAGTCTCGTCCATGGCCAACGACACAACTCTATGATATATTTTTTCATCTTGATAGATAAAGTGTGGTTTGGTTGATATGTATGTGGGCATGTAAACTATAAGGTGACATTGGGGATTACTTGTAACAAAAGAGGAAAAATAATGGTTGATACTAGATAGTATTGTATTTGGTCAATCAGTTGCAGAAAAAAAATCAAATATATATTGTTGGAAATTTAAGAGTATTTAGGGTTGGATACAATTTTCAAAGGATTACTACCTAAAAAAAATTTCAATGAATTTATGCCAAATTTGTTTTCTATACATTCGTGTAAGATCCTATATGGAATGAATTTATAATCATCGAATCGATTCGAAAGAGAATAAGCATCGGCTAACTATGTGACAACAGTCGCGGTAACACAGAGGACACTATAAAGAACAATTCAAGAAACCAGAAAAAAAGGAAAAAGAATGTGAGAACTGAGAACTAGTAATCCGATAAATAGAAGTGTAGACTAAGAGAAAGAGAAAAATGTCCGGAAATAAATATGGTATGAGCTGAATATCAATATGTATATTTATGGTTTATTTTCATACAATTACTATATTTAGAGGTGCACGAAAACATGAGAGTTTAGTACATGAGTACTTGTGTGGAAATAGATTACAATCTTTGAATCAAATTGATTGACAAATAATGGAATTTGTTTTTGGTATTCATAAAAATAGAAAGTTGTAACACTTCAGTTCCTAAAAAAAATACATGACACAAGAATTTGACACATACAGTATTATGTGAGATACATATTGGAGTGTTCTTCTATGAAGAAAAGTCTTGCAATTATTTGTCTATACTCTTCCTTTATTTCCCACTAAAATTTCTTTAAGACTTTTTTTTTGGTAGAAAAATTCTTTAAGACTTTAACAAAACTTATTGAATGGAATTAGGTTAATCACTCGTGTTAAGTACTACATGCATGGAATAATGAAATTTTGTAAGTTTCTCATTTGGAATAAAGAAGATTTTTATTTTATTATTGGTAAAGTTAAATATTTAGAATCTTTGTATTGACTTTTGTTTTTTTGAACATTTTAAAACTCAAATGTGTTTGGTAATTAGATCTAGAAGAAAATAGATAATATTTGGAAATAAATATGTTTGACAATAAGTATGAGATATTTTTTTTAAAAAAATAAATGTGCAAAATGTGGATTTATCACATAAGCATAATGATTCTTATTAAGAAAATTATATATCGGATTTGATAAGAAAATTATATATATCGGGCCGTGTTTGGCATAAATATAATGTAAGACCGAATTTAGGAAACTTTAGTAAAAAGGAGGACTTGCTTTTGTAAATTCTAAATACTTGTCTGCACTCTTTCGTTTCTGCAGATTTCAGAATTTGGGGGTAAATGCTCCGACGCTTCATAGCCTTCATAGCAGCTCTTTATCACACAGACTTGAATAAGCTTTCTTCTTCGCCGTTTCTCTTCGCAGTGAATCCAAAATCAACGGTTATGCGCCAGTTTTGTAGAATCTCTTGTGTGATCAAACCGTCGGCTAGAGATCTCGAAACCGATTGAGCTAATATGGAATCTGGCTCTGTCGCAGGTTCTGATACAACTGCGTCTCATTTGGTACGCATTTTAGCTTTTTAATCGATGATCCTGGTTCTTCGTTGTGTCTCTTAGTGTTGTTTTTGAAATTGAGATAAGAATTTGGGTTTAGCTCTGATGTTGTAGTTGTTGTTGTTTCCTTATTAGAATCATACCAAATGTTACAGTCGTGTTGCTTTGCTTCTCTTTGGTTAGTGGCTAATTTGGTGGTTTAAGTGTCATTAGTGATGAAGGGGTATCTCACAACTTATACTTCTCCTTGAGGGCATTCATGAATTTAGTGTTTTTTTTTAATTGCAGCCTAGTGTATCTGTACTTTTAGATGCTCTTGAGAAGTCTGCGTCGACTCCCAGGATTGCAAATGGTCTTTCACAGAGGCTGTTACGCTCGTTAAAGCTTTCAAATGAAAATAAACTTTCTTTTAAGGCGTTGAATGGAGCTTGTCGTGTCCTCAGATTGGCTTGCGCTCAAGCCAGAGAAAGTAGGAAGCCTGGGTGTGTTAGCCCTTTAGTAGAGAGTAGTGACAGTCGAGTTATAGTTGATTCACCTCATAAAAGTTCTGATTCAAGTCATACAGAGGATTCTTGGTTTGAGTGCGTGGAATCATGCGTGGGGGTTTTCACTGAGTTTTTCTCATCGACAGACGATGCAAAAATATATGTTTTGCGAAGCTCCGTATGTGTTGATTGTCTTTTTGAGCTATTTTGGGAAAAAGCCGTAAGACACAATGTGATGAAACTCATTACTGATCTCATGAAGGTATCTCTTTCAAATAAGTACTTATAAGTAGTCTTTACTAACATCTATTGATCTAATAGCTTGTTAAGGAGATTGAAATGGATTTTTTTTTAATCTAAATTTTCAGATCAGGCCTTTGTGTGACGAAGACAAAAGTGCAAAATCTCAAGTGTGTTCCAAATATCTAGAAACTTTCACTCAAGTGAAGGAAAGAGAAAATGATTTTGTAGACTTGTCTGGTGATCTATTGGCGGGTATGAGGGATTTGATCAAGACTGATTCGAAGGTATGCCTCTATGTTACTTGTATAGTGTGTGTACAGTCTGTTTGGCGTCAGCCACTCCTGCTGTAGATCCTTATCTTAATTTTTTGCTTCTAATGTTTTTTTCTATTTTTTTGCAAATCCAGTACTACCAAGCCCTCTTCCGTGAGGGGGAGTGTTTCTTACACATTGTCTCTCTCTTAAATGGTAATCTTGATGAAGCAAATGGAGAGAAGTTGGTTTTAAATGTGCTTCAGACTCTAACCTCCCTGCTTGCAAATAATGATACGTCAAAGGTGATTCTTCTTTTCTTTTGCTCTTCGCTACAGTAAGGGTCACTTAAAAAATGGCTTGTTCAGTTATTACCTTGGGATGAGAAAATAGATGGGGTTCATGGAAGGAGTAGATTATAAGTTTCTGCTTACTGTGTTAGCAAAATACGAATATCGCACCTCTCCCCATAATCCATGTAGATAAAGGCTTTTCCCTGGATGACATGTATTACTTAACTTGATTTGGGATGAAGTAATAGTGAAAGGAATCTTGGAAGTGAACTTTGATCTCAAATAGTAAATTAGTAGAACGAAAGACACATTTTTTTTTTCATTGTTTTGGAAGACTTTCTGAGCTAAGTTGAACCTAAAGGTCTTCTGCACTGGTATAATTAGTTTTTGCAACTGCTTCCTTGTGCTCTTCAGTTTGCATTTAAAGCCCTTGCTGGCAAGGGTTATCAGACACTGCAAAGCTTATTGTTGGATTTTTTCCAATGGAAACCTACCCAAAGGCTCTTGGACGCACTACTTGATATGCTTGTTGATGGAAAATTTGATGATAAAGGCAGTGCTCTTATAAAGGTGGTGTAGTTTTCTAATTTATCAGTTAATGATTTGTTTTTCAATTTTCTTCTAATACCTTGTTCACTGGGGCTAATTATGTTATCCTGTTTCCATTTTTAATTTGTTCTTCCTATCCAGAATGAAGATGTTATCATACTTTACTTAAATGTACTTCAGAAGGTTGGTGCAATTCTTCTTACTTGGATTTGCCTTTTTCCATTCTTTGGTTTTGGAATATATCCTTATTGTCGAGTTGTATAATTTGGCAGAGCAGCGAGTCTTTGCAGTGTTATGGGCTAAATTTGTTTCAGCAACTCCTTAGGGATTCCATATCGAATCGTGCTTCATGTGTTCGGGCGGGAATGCTTCACCTTCTTCTTGATTGGTTTTCTCTGGAAAATGATGATAGTGTTATCTTGAAAATAACACAGCTAACTCAGACAATTGGTGGCCACAGTATTTCTGGGAAGGATATACGTAAGATATTTGCCCTTCTTCGGAGTGAAAGAGTGGGCAATCAACAGAGATACCGCTCACTTTTATTGTCTTGTTTGTTGTCAATGCTCAATGAGAAAGGACCAACAGGATTTTTTGACATGAATGGGGTTGAATCTGTAAGTCTTTGTCCCACTTGAGAAAGTTTCCATGCTTAAAATATGTATGCTATCATACTGCTACAACTTGTGGAGATAAAGTATAAGCTCATCAGTTTAAAGCTTCTTTTGGATGAAATCAGTTTCCAGTGATTAATTTACGCTGCCGTAACTGTATCAAACATGCCTCAAATTTAAATAGTAAATGTTTAGACATCGTAGAGGGGAAGTTTTTTTGAATTTTTGTTTCCAAGAAATGGTGGTACTCTATTGGAGATATTGATGCTAAAGTGTTACACTTTTCTTGGTGAGTAGACAAACTCTGACTATTTCTTGATTCTTAATTCTTACCTTTGTTTTGTAAATTATTTTTTTATTCGCAGGGGATTGTAATCAGGACACCTGTTCAGTGGCCTGCAAATAAGGGGTTTTCCTTTTGCTGTTGGCTTAGGGTAGAAAGCTTTTCTGGAGATGGCAAAATGGGTATCTTCAGCTTCATGTCAAAAAATGGAAAGGGTTGCTTTGCTGCTATTGGAAAGGATGGACTATCTTATGTTGTAAGAAAAAATACAGCTTCTCTGAGGTCTTTTTCATATTTTAAATTTACTTATGCTTCTCCTAATACAATTTCTCTTCCTTTTCTTTCTCAGTCTCTGAATCTGAAACGGCAATGTGTAAATGTGCATGCCAATTTGGTCTGTAAAAAGTGGCATTTTATTTGTATATCTCATAGTATTGGGAGAGCATTTTGGGGTGGAAGCCTCTTAAGGTGTTATGTTGATGGGGATCTTGTGTCATCTGAACGATGCAGGTGATTTCTCATAGATTTTTTTTTACATTGACAAAACAGAGTTATATTATGTAATGCTTGATTGCTTATTTTTATTTCTATTTGCCCAGTACTTGATTTTGTTTTCTTATGTTACAGCTATCCCAAAGTTACTGATGTACTTACCAGCTGCTTAATTGGCACAAGAATCACGTTGCCACAAATCCAAGATAATGATGGCTTGGAATCAATCCGAGATGTGTTCCCATTTTTTGGCCAGATTGGCCCTGTTTACTTGTTTAAT